TCGAGTTAAAACAAAGATCTTAAGAGAGGAACCAAGAAAAACAAGTGTGACATAAATAAGCAGCGAAACAGGACTTTCCGCCTTCCCCAACAAGATTTCTGATTCATAAACTCAATTTACTTCAATCAAGTATAAGCAAAGTTGCTTGATAATAGCAAATGTGAACGAACTGTTGTCTTAAAATCTAGAGAGCTGTCAAGCGTTTCTCGATATATTCTCATTTGTTCAACATAAAGATGCTAATTTACAGTATCAATTAGTTTAGTTTTAACCTATATGTTTATACGTCGGATATTTAAGAATAAGAATTTTAAAAATCAATTTCCAAAAAATTTTCACACATTTTTGTTTGCAGTATACCAACTACCTACTGGTTTGCTTGCAGCTGTTATGAATTATTCACTACAATCGAGATAAAATAAGCTTAGTTCAATGACAGCCTGACTGCAAGCCGAAAATGTTTGTTATGTCAGCCGTTAAACTGTCCTTTTTTTTTTTATTGTGCCTATCCATGGAAATAATCAATTATCTCAAAGAAAAAGAGAAAAAAATTCCATTTAGTTCATAACAAAAATATTAATTTTTAAGTATTTCAAGGAAATAAAATCGGTCAGATATATTTTACCCATCATCATTACATGAATTCCATGCCTCATATTTGATTCGAATGAAATCCTAGCAAAAGTTATGACTGTACTTTTGAAAAATTAGAGACCAGTGAATAAATCGGTACAATTCAATATTTCATACCGTCGATTTTCGATAACAGAACATGTTGGAAGATATGCAATTAGGGCATCATCAGGTCTCACCTTGCACTATGTGTCCTGATCCTTACTTGATGGTTATAACAAATGAATGCCAAAATGAAACCTTTGATGCGGAAAAACAAATGTGGAAACTAATACCCGAGAATAAGAAGTTTTTGAGTGAAAAGCGCAAAGTAAATGAGCCGGTAGGTAAGAAATGAAAGTATGAGGTGTGGAGCATTACTGCTCCTTCAAGCTGTATTACGACTCAAAATGATCGAAACAGATGTTTTGAGGGCAATAAATGTTCCAAATGCCCTACCAGCTAACACGAAACTTCTGCACCCTTCCTAACTCGCCTTCTTTCTTCAAAAATTATGAAATTTCAATTTAAAAAAAGGAGTTAAAAAATTCGGAACATGTAATATATGGAAGAAGTATGTGTATAATATGTATAGGGTGAGAAAGAGAAAAAGAGGGAAAGGAGAAGTATATGTAGAGAGAGGGAAAGAGAGAAAACTTGCACAGGGTTAATGAAACTGGAACAAAAAAGAAAAGCATTCAGATATCCTGAAATATACGACTCAGTAGAAGATATTATTCGGAAAGTCCTGCAAATGCTTGATATAATCTGAATAGTCGTAGCAACGGAGTGATGCATGAAAGTATTCCGGAAGTATTTTGTTGAATAAGCTGAAACACATTTGATTCATTACCTTTGCAGGAGCTGATTGCTTCCTAAAATGCTAAACTGTTCATATTGAAAATTAGTGTGAAGACAAAATACTGTCATTTATAGCATATCTTTCGGTTCGTATATATTCTTTTTTTTATATTCTTTTCGTTGCTAATTTCATATTTCAAATTTTTCCCTTTTCTTTCTTTGGAATATATTTCAAAAGATATTTACAATTCTCTAAGTGGACAAAATGGATAACGTGCGATAAATGAACTAAGCTGGAATATTAATGTTTTCACAGGGTCTTTTTTATCAATCATTCTGATCATAAGCACAAATGAAGCAGACAAGAGCATCGCAGGAGCGGAAAATGTTTGCCTAGTCAATAGGGACACATGCAAAAACAAATATATATGTAATAGATAAATTCTAAATATTTGATACAGATATATTTGAAAAATGGAAATTTGAAAGAGGAAAACCGTAATGAGTAGAATGGAAAGATATGGAAACAGAGAAGAAATATACGGTGAAGCATCCTAAAACAGTTCCTGAAATGAATAACATCATCTCGAACACTCATGCCATTTTTCAAGTAATATCTTTTACTTCAGCAAAATTCAGCAGGAAAACCTGATGCATCCGTTCCATTTGCTTCAAGGAATGAGAGAAACTTTTCGTTTTAATAAGTTTTCCATGAACAAAGATGACATTGGTGGATTTATTGAATAACTTTAGTTCTTTCCGATATGGAAGGAAAGCACGGAAGGATACACCCTTTTCCCGACGACATGTCCTTTCCTGTTGCAATAAAAGAAATGAAACAGGTAACTTGAACTCAAAAGTAGAGAGAGAGAAAGAAAGAGAAAGAGGAGATGAGATAAGCAATTGTGTACAAAAGATTATTGGAAGAGATACTTACGAATTCCGCAATTTAATGTAGAAAGGCTGGATAATAGAGAGAGAGGGAAAGAGAGAAGGAAGACGAAAAAGCTCGCCTAAGGAAGAGCAAGTACTGCATTGCAGAAAAATAATGTGTAATGTGGTTGAGGGGAAGAGGGACCTCCTTCTATCTTCTATAAGCTTGCTATTAAGCTGAGCCTTGAAGCTTTCAACAATTTAGCTTTGCATTTTGCCTGTCAACTGTCACAAGCGGCTAATACCCACCTCCTCTCCTCTCCAAATGCCTTCAACATGCCAAAATTTTTTTACTGTATTTTAGGTTTTCATTAATTAGCATACAGAAGAAATAGTTTCCGAAAAGCTAAAAGTCATTAATATATCGATTTTGCTCCAAAGCAATAGAAAGTATAGCAAGAGTGCCATGTAACCTCGATGAGGTAAATAGGTTAGGCTCATAAGAAGTAAGCAATTATGTTTTCTTGGCTGTCAAAGCTGTTTATATTTTTTGCTAATTTTTTTTTTTTTTTTGCTAACTTTATTTTGCTAACTGTTCCGATGACTGCTGAAGTAAAAATAGGTAAGAACGCAACTGAAAATCAAATACTTTTGTTTGCAAACATTATATACCATCAATTCTCCCGCTGTTATATAACAAAAAACTTCAACTTCTCGATATAAAGAGTGCAGAGAGACCCAAATTTATTATAATCAGCAAAAGATGACAAGTAAAATGAATGGAAATCAACTGGACTTTTGATTAAAAAAAAGCCATATTATGTACTAACTTCTCTCATCTTCTCCTTCTGATTATTGTCCTGAAATAATCTGGTTGCAATTTCAGAATTTCCAAAAGTGCAATCATAGGAAGAAAGAGTATAAATAAAGAAAAAGAAGAGGAATAAACGGTTGAAGATGGTATGATAGTTAAAGGGAAGGAGGGCTACTGGGAGAGAAGTGGAAACAACGAAAAGGAAGAACGGGATACGATGAGGACGCTCTCTTCCAGCAAAACAACTACCAGAATTTATCCAACCAACAAATTCTATCAAATATCTATGATAGCTGACTTCTATTCAACCCTTCTTCTATGAAATATCTATGATAATGTCCTTTAACTTCTCTTCAATAAATTGTCATCTTTGAAGGGACCATTGAAGTTAATCCTTGCAAGTGATACCTAAAGCGATAGTGTATTGCAAACAAATGATTAGTATTTAACCGTGACGGGAAGTTATATTATCTCATACTCAACTTACGTCATGTTTACAAAATTTTACTAGCCCATTTCTCCGGCGATTCAAATTCTTTTCTTGTGATCAATCTTATCTGAAAAAATAAATAAATAGCGAGATGTCCTTCTGTTCCGCTCCTACTTTCCATGCGCAGCCGAAAATCTTCTAGCTCATGGTACTCATATTAATTATTTTTGGTAAATTTGTGCAGCGTTTTCAGTTAAATCAGGTAACAAAAAGAAAACACGATTAACAGTACATTATAGAGTGAATACTATTCCATGATATACTGGAAAAATTATTCAGGGATTACTTCTCCTTAATGATTTATTTTACACTATGAGCATTTCGACATTAGATAACAGACACAAAAGAAGGATCCAAAAGAGATGAAAACCATGAGAAATAAAATTTTAATCATCCAAATTTGAGATGGACTGTAACGAATGTAACGTTGAAGTAATATATACAATACCGATAAATTAATGGGAAGAAATGTAAATGTTAATCGCCATATCAACTGTTGCTTAATGAATGATATATATGTATCAAACATTCAAAGCACATTTCGGCAATGAGCCAACACATCTCCAAGTAACATTCATTCCCAACTAACAACACATCTTTCCATTATCACTAGATTATCCAACTTCCCCATTAAAGAAAAAGAAAATGAAGATAAACAAGCCTTAGTCCATTTGTTACGTGAACAAATACCCATCACTTTGCCATATTTAGCATCATTCCCAGACACCAACGATGCAAAGGATGAAGTAGAGGAGATTTCTACAATGAAACCGGACGATATCTCCGAATGATACGAGATGATAGGATTTCATGCAACCTTTCACCTACTACCTTTAACTGGATTATGTAGTAATTCTCAGCTCTGTCCTGATGGTTAAATCGACGGGAATATTTTCTGATCCGTTTCTACTTTATCAATATAGATATGAACATCTTATCAACAGCGCGGGAAAACATTTATAGAAATAAAAACGAAATATCAGAGTCGATTTTTCCTAATAATTAGAATTCCTCATTATTTTTATAACGAAAATGACACGTTTTCATCTAAATATGTTAATTACTTTCTTTTTGGAATTAGAACCAGTATATCTCGAAGAGAAAGAAAAGGCATTATGAGCGTTATCATTTCTGATATTCTTCACCATCATGTAATTGTTAAATAATCGATAAACCTCAAAAATCTCGGCAAAATAAAACAGTACTATTAATAGGAATAAATACGAATCGATAATCACTAATAATCAATATATAAAACAGCACATCTTATCACTGCACGCTTCGCCACCATCTTTTATAAACTGATCGATAAAAAGACGAATTCTATTCTTTTCATATCTGGTAAGCATAACGAAACATACTGGATACGAACAAGCACTACGATAACGTCAGAATTCCCGTGAACCCTGATCAGCATATCTTACCCGAATTGAAATGACCCTTGAAGGTCCCATCTAACCTGAAATTGACTAACACATCCATAATCCGACCCTAATCAAATTACCTTTTCTAGTCCAGTTTTAAAGCTCACCAGCGCAACTCACCTTCACTTCACATTACCTAATCCATTATACTTAGTCGAAAACTCAATAATGGAATACATGAACAACAATTCATATATGATAGAATAAGATTTTCCATTTAAAGAGGGATAGGAAAAGGAATCGTGTTAAGTTATCGTGTGATCAAACAAAATAGGTACATGTAAGGTTGTGTTTGCATCGCAAACTTCAATTGGAATACAAGCATCGAGAAAGTGGAAGAACACTGTAGCATGTGGTCAGAATTCCAAGGGATGGTTACTACGATTTCGGACATTCGCTGATCGCTCCTGGAAGCACAATGGTTACTTAGATGGATGGAAAAGCCACATTACCACCCACCACTTGCTTACGCCAGCACTATCAACAACTCATCAGTGACTCCTACAAAGCTCACATAGCCCCTCTGTGCAATCTAATAGCTAGCTCTGTTCTGTAGGTCAAATAGTTGCTCGTAAGCTGTTTGATAACCTAACAAAGATTGCAGCTGCCATTTGCAGCCTTAGCCTTAGCTGCAAGCGGTCTCGAAGCCTTCTCGTTGAACTTGACCGATGCTCCTTTTTATTCTTTTTTTCTTTTCGTAGAAAAAACACAGCCAGCAAAATATTATCGATGGTTTGTGGTTAGATGAGGTAACAAGAGTAAAACTTGATATGCCTTGCTATGTTCCCCCTTTGCCAACAGTAATAACAGCAGCAGCAGCAGCCAGAAAAAGCCAAGTGAATATGCTGTCTCGCCACAGCACGCCCAGTTCCTTAATACTGTTTCCTTGTCAAACGAATGGCAGCGTACTGTCATCGGTCATGAACATACTTATACCACTAATTATGTTAGCAGAGAACAGTAAATAGAATGCTGTAGTATTATTGTTATTGTTGCTGCTGTCGCTGCTACTGCTATTATTATTGTTGTCGATGTAACTGTTGTTGTTTTGACCGCTTATCATCACGTTCTATTGCATTCTATTCCGTTTATAGTTGACATGGAAAGCTTCATATCAATTGATAAATGGTATTTTTGACCGTTAAAATATAGATAACGTATATACTACGCATAAACTTTCACCGCTATAAGACTTAGCAACACATGTTGACATAACAATTGGTAGTACTAGAAAAGCAAGCACAAGAAACACGCAGAGCATGCAGAAAGCAAGAATGAATGTCATGCGGAGTGCTTGGCTGCACAGCTCCACAATGTGCTACCCCACTGGCGCATAGGCATACTAACGGAATAGCTACTGAGCAGGCCTCCTTGGCCGTTTAATATCTCCAAACTCCAAGCTAACTGAGTGACTAACTGATGGGTAAATTGCATCTTAAGCTCATTCTGCTTGACTAGTTCAGGTATGTGTATGTATGTGCGCATGTGTATGTGTACGTACGTATGTGAAGTATTGAATATGTATGTATGTATAATTATTTATATGTATGCATGTACATGTATGTACGTCTTTTGTGTACTTGCATGTAACTGTGTATTTATGTGTGTATGTGTATTGGTGTGTGGCATTTAATTACATAGGAAATATCCTCCTTAACGGAACGATACTGAAACTATGGGACTTGGGTGTCCGGATGGGTGCCTTTATTCTTGCTTTTGTTGCATCTTCGAAAGTTCTTTACCTTAATAGCGAAAAGTAAACCTTTTCTCTTCCTTCCAGAGAAGGAAAAAGTAACTAATTAACAACGCTTGGTGACAAGAAACGGAAATCTGAAAAGGATTAAAGAATTAAATTAACTACAACATCAAAAAGATCCGGGAAACTTGACAGTAGTAAATGTAGTGATAACTTCTATATAAAAAATCTTTATCACTCTAAAATTCTGGTTCCGCTTTTCCTGATAATGGCATTCGTAAAAGTAGGCCATCAGTTGATCTTAATAACGTAATGTTGAATAATAATGCCAGCAAACAATAAATAATTGTAATGATAAATAGTAGTAAATGATAATGAAACGAATAATTAGTAAATATATACAGTAAAAAAATAAGTAATAAATAAATAAATAGTTAACAATAAGTAGTCAATAACACATTAATCAATAAGAAGCAATAAATGAAAAATAAATGGTAATGAACAAATAAGTAATAAATGATAATAATAAGCAACAAGTAATAAGTAATAAATTACGAACGATAATAAATGATAATAATAAGCAACAAGTAATAAGTAATAAATTACGAACGATAATAAATAATAAATAAATAACAAGAGTTGACAGTAACAAATAATAAATAAGAAATAATAATAATAAGTAATAACGGCAAGCAAATGATAAGGAAATAATAATCAATAAACAACAACTAAGAAAAAATAAATAATAATAGAAAATAGTGATGATAAATAATGATAAAATAGTAAATAGTAGTAAACAGTAAGTAAACAATAAAAAAACAATGATAAATAGTAAATAGAATAAATAATAAATAACAAATAAATGACAGGTGGTAAATAATAAACGATAAATAATGTATAATAGTTTTGATAAATAACAAATAATAAATAAATAAGTAATAAATAAAACTGATGATAAGGGATAAAATAATGATAATGAATACTTAAATGCAGATTATTATTAAGGAAAAGGAGACAAAGGAAAACAAAAGTTGAAAATTGCAACAAAAATATATTTGTTGAAAGCATAGTTTCCATAAATTTCAGCATTGATCATCCATTCATGAATGGTTTCATTTTTGTTAATATTTTTGTGAATTTATAAATTATACTCCTTTAGAAATTATGTTCCTTAAATCATATTGCTTCACCCATCAAAACAATCTTACTGTCTTTTGTTTAGTTAATGGTAAGGTTATTGAGGTCAAACTATGTAATATAAGGTCATCTGGTAGTTCGGGTGACCAAATTTTGTATCTTTTTAGTTATTTTTGTCATTAGTTTTTTGTTCTAATTTTGATTAAATCAGTATGGGAAAGAATTGAGATGTAGATTTGCGTACTGTTTTGATTATTTGCTAAGGTAGATATTACATCTAAATGCTTGTCTTAAAGTATTATGTTGTAAATTTCACAAATTTTGCCACTCAGGAAGAACAATAAAATCTACATGATGACAGTTATTATCAAAATGACTGATAGGAAGATTAAATAGTAGAAATTGATTTTCTTCTTTTTTCGTCACATCCTAAATTGAACTTAATACATTAATTTTATCTATCAGAAGGTAAAAGTAATTGGAATAGATGCATCATATCCGTATGCATAAAGTTAGACTTCCGGACAAACAGATCGAAGAAGTGAAATAGCGAAATAGATGAAGTGCAGTTGTTGTTGAAGAAAGATTCGCATTGCTCGAGGAGCGGATAATGTTGACAATAAGATAAAACGTTCTTTTCAATTAATATCTTTCGTTGGCTGTTGCCTTCATTTCTGTATCGCAGCATCAATATTTTATGAAATGAGCATTGAATCGATGATGAGTAAGAAGGAGCTTTGTTCACACAAAATGAAAGGCAAGTCTACATCGGACGATAACGATGCGCTGATAAGGATGTATGGCAGAAAATCAGCGTAAATAATCTAGAAAAACTTGAAATCAACAGTTTTTAATTTTTTTAATTAGTAAATATGACATCAGATTCTAAACAACAACAACAAAAAAAAATTGTTTCTTAATGCTTAGAAAGTCTTAAAATAATGACTGATAGGATACAAGCAGAAATAAAAATCAAGTGCAAAATTTTAAGAAAAAGTGTCAATTTGCAGAATAATCGAGTTTTACCTTAAATATGATTATATTCTGAATGAAAATGCTAGCACCGGGAAACAAACGAAAAAAAAAACTGATGATAATTTACACAACCTAAATTCACATTAATGAATAATGGGTACTGCATGAAATTCAAAATTTTGATTCTTAGAGTTAACAATCTTCGCTAATCTTTCTTATTGAGGGTATACAGACTTCTTTTAAGTTGTTTGGTGGATTAAGAAAAATAAAAATTTCGAAATGTTATTGAAACAAAGTATGGTGAGATATATGGAGACTTCAGTAAGTAATATAATGCTAATTTTTTAAGCTTGAATGAAAACATCACATCGATCAAAGAACAACATTTATTTTATAAAAAACAATAATGGCGTATAATTGAATTTTTCAAAATGAAATATTTTATCCAGAAAAATGAGAAAATGAATAGTTGTTTTGCGTTGATTTATATTTGTTAAATTTAAATGTTCAAGTTTATCAACTTCCTTCCTTCACATTAATTAATAATAGGTAACTTCATTTCAAATTTCTTACATCATCATTTACTTCATGTACTCCAATTTTTTAACTTTATACATGTCACCTGGTTTTTTTTTTATGTTTCAAGTTTTATATTTAACACCAATGGTGCATTTTGAAAGTATCGGACGATTTATATCAAATTTAATATAGCATATGAAACAAAAAGGATATTATGACAAATTAGCTATTTCTGAATCTTTCGAAGTTTTGATGCATTTTAAATTGCAGTGATTAATCTCTGAGACAAGATTTAAACAAATAAATTCTTTATGCGATAGCTTTGGATTTGTTTAAAATTCTACTTCCAACATGTCATTATTCAAGTAGGGAAATTTGGAAAAAAAGTGAAACTCTGCGCTGCGAACACATCTATTTCTCACTGTCTGAATGGATTGATATTTAAAATTGGAATGATGATGAACGGTTCAATAAATCAAATTGATGAGATAAGCAAAAAAGTAAATTTTGATCGCCCATGCAGATAAATGCATTGTTACTCATTAGCTTATTGCCCAGCAGTTGAGCATCAGGTGATGGAAATTTTGCGTAATGATTTTTTTTTTCTTTTTAGGCCCTCTTATCAGTGATGTTATTTACCTTTACTTATTTGCTGCTTTGCTGATTTCGTTTGCGCGCACGCATTGCTTCGTTGCGTAAATGAAGCGAAAAGAATTCAGTAGTTGGAAAGACAGAATGAAACATAACAAGAATGTAATTTTGAAGAAAGACCCCTACATGCTGTTTTTATAGAGACTAATCTGACAAATTTAAGGGCTTGCTGTTCTTTGAACCGATCTCAACTCGTTTCCTATTTTCATTTCATTCTAATTGATTAGGAGATTTCCATCATACAGCAGACATGTATCAGAATTAAACCTTAACTACCGGACGGTTCCGATTGTTTTTTTCTCCTACACCATGTCTGATTTGTGATTCAGTAACACGGGTTTAAGAATTCTGACGGCTAATAAAATCATTTGGTTTCTTCATTAAAATTCTTTCCATCCAGAAGCTAAAAATATCGTTCAAAAAGTGATCTGTAGAAAGAAAAGACATTACCAGAATCTAAGATTCAAAACGGGAGTGAGGAAGAGACGGAATGAATAAATCATAAGATTTGGTGAAAAAGAGAAGTGTTTTTATGAATGTTTTCCTACGGCTTAGGGCATTTTCGGGGCAATTTCGTTTGTTTAATGAGTAGTCCATTTCCGTTTGTAAGTTGTGAAAGGGAAGAGGGGGACATCTGGGCAAAACTTCCGCCTAATGTGAATCTTTAGATGATAGGAGAGCGGTGGGAGGGACTCAGATAATCACCATATTGATCAAAAAAGCATTCCTTCTTCCTCCTCTTCCTCTTACCTTACCTCCTTCTCATCTCTCCAAATTTCAAAGCTCATTTCGCATTAGCATACCATGTAAAAATTTACTGTTGGTTGAAGTCAATCAGAATTGTCCTTCACTTTGGCTATCATTTGTTCTTTCATTTCCCAATCTAAGTTTTTGCTTTTCAACAAGCCAAAAAGAATATAAAGTAGCTTATCGATTTGAAAGGGGATGTTCGTCAGAAAGAGAAATGAAAAAGGGGTAAAAAGATAAAGAATCCCGGAATTCCAGAACATTCTGCTCATGAGTTTTATTGTACCTTGTACCCAAAATCTGTGGCAGTCTCTCTCTCCCTCCGTCATTCTCTTTTCGGTCTCATTAACAACATTTCTTTCTTTGTTTCCGTATTGAGTTCGCGGAAAATTATCAGGAAATTCAAAAAAAATTTATTAATAATCGAATTCGTCTTCTTGCTCGTCAATCACTTAACAACAAAGCAAACACCTTGGACGGGTAAATCACTAGAAAGTGTAAATTATCGTCTCAGTAATCAAGTGGCTGGGTTTCACACTTATGCATTGATTTCACTGCCAGTGAGTAAGTTGAATTCGTAATTCACGTGAGCTTCATTTCACATATAACACATATAAAAATAACGAATTCACAGTTCACTATTGATACGAAAACTTTTAATGGACCATGCCAATTTTCCTATTTGCTTCGTTTTTAAAGGTGACATAAATGTAAAGGTAAAAAAGATTACTTGTCATTATTATGTTTGTAATATTGAATGATGAGAACTTTTGTTAATAAAAAAGTGGATGGAGAGTGAAAGTGACAAACTAGTGCGAAGGACAAATGTATAGTGTGCTTAACAGATACATTCTGTACAAAAATCTCTAACAAAACCTTTGTTATCAAATAACAGTACAAAACACTTTCCCAGCAAAATGAAGGTTTCAGGTGTGACACTGGTTTTTAGAACGTTCAGTTCAGTTATCCATAAATCCTATAACATCGAATAATGAACCAAAAATTTTAGAAAAGCAACACTTTTCTACTTCACAACGATACTGTTAGAATCGATTTCTCAGAGGAAATTTTAGAAAAAGAAAAAACGGACGTTAAAATATCAGTTTCATTTATATACTTTTAAAGAGATAGAAACTGAAACGTATGTAAGTCTTAAAGAATAATCTTAAATTTTTTCACATGATTTAAAGGGAAAGGTTACAATTCATATGTAAATTCATAACTTAATCTTGGACTTCCTTGGTGGATAGACCGGCAGATCCCTGCATGAGACAGAATTATCAGAGTACGAGTTGCATTCGATGACTCTAGCGATTCCCAAAGTTAATTTCTCATTTTTCATAAAAAACATGTGGAAAACGAGATGATGACTCTGCTACCTTCCGTTTTTTGATGATTTATTACAACTAACGAGAAGGTTAGGAAAAATGTGATGATCCATATATATTGCATAGAGCACCATGACTCTTGCCTATGGCTGTGGCATTTTGGACTTCTTATTTTCTGGTGGATATTGAAGTTTTGGTTTTTTTTTTTTGATTCAGTTCTGGCGCAGTTTGGGTGTTTATTTGAATGGTGGGAGTTGAGGTTGAGCGGATTCTGGTTTTGGTCTTCTAAATAACTTTTTTTTTCGTCTTTGTAAAATACCACCATTATTTACATCGTTATGCTGCACTCATTTATTTCCATTTTAAATGTTCGTTTTAATTGGAAGGATTGTGAGGACGGTCACATTAAATAGAAATTACGTATCATTTGTAACTCACTGCTGTTTTCTTTATTTAACCAGTGTATGTTTTTTAAAACTATGTTTGAAGCAAGATTCTTTTAATGTAAAGGTAACTGTCGGAAGCATTCCCTTTTGGTGACTTCAGTTTTATTTGTTATAGGCATAGTTTGGGTGTATCGTGGAATATACTCACGATTATGTCTGTGCCGCGTGAGAAGGATAAATCAAAGGTAAGTCCTGTTCGCCTTCATATTTTAATATATTTTGAATTGTTTTATTCGGTATCTAATTTGCATTTGAAGCAGCGTGGTAATGGCACTAGTTAGCTAGTAGATGCAAATTTTTGAGAGAGATTTATTATATCTGAATACCTCAGAATATATTTTCTGCTGTTAAATAGCGGTGCTTAAAGGAAAATTTAGTGCATGTTAGAGTTGTTATGAAATCCTTTTCCTGCACCAGTGTTTGATGATGTCCTTCGTATAGTTGTACCTGGCGAATTATGTAATTTCGTAATCGCGCAACTATCGTAATGAAGGAGTGGTTATTGCTGGACTGCAGAGGTTCTAACATGTTTAATTATTTCAGGTCAGACTAAGAAGTATACTAGGTCGTTTTTTTAATTCAAATAATGAGGTTAGTTCTTCCTCATCATCATATTATTCTGGCCCAGGAGAAATCAGCTCGCCCTATAATACCGTTCACCGAATACATGTTGGCTACGATGGCAAGAAATTTACGGGCTTGCCGCAACCTTGGATGGACACATTGCTTCGTGATATTAGGTCGGTGTTGGATTTTCGTAAAATATTTCGAATTATTTATTTATGGTAAATAGATTGAAATATATTTCATTTGTTTACAAATGTCAAGTGAAATGAATTTTATCATTATTTTTGTCATTCGCTTGCAGTGAAGCCGACCAGAAGAAGAACCCTTCAGCAGTTGTTTCTGCGTTGAAATTTTATGCAAAAACTATTATGGCACAGGAAGCTGATAAGCAAAAGTTTATGATTACTAATTCTCAATTACCGTTTGACGATGAAAATGATGAAGAGCCTATAGCAACTACCCAGCCAGTTGCAAAAACAGATGATATGAGCAGTAGTAATACTTTACAATACAGTTCAGAATTTTATTGAAGTTTTCGAGTAGCGTTTTCAGACTTGGTATGTCATCGATTCTTTCAGAAGAGTTTATATTTTCAAAAACATTGTTTCGTTTATGAAGGAAAATACATCCGTTTATAGGGAAAGAGTCTCAAAATATGGAAAATAATAGTTCAACAGAGATCTCGACGATAATTTCATCCATTGCGGCTAGTGGATATCCGGCTGTGGCACCTCCAATAATACCACCTCGACATTCACAGCATCCTGGTGCACCACAATTACCACCATTACGAAGTTCGAATAGGTGAGTGACACCTTATTAGAGGGATTTTGGAAATAATTCGTTTGTATGTATTCAAAAATTCCAAGCATCGCTGGTTTTTTTTTTTTATTTTCATTTTTTTGGGTTGGTTCTGAGTGATTCCTAGCTCAAGCTTTCATCAATTTGCAGTACTGCAATAATCAGTGATGGAAGTGTTGAAATTTCCTCGAACGAAGTATTTACCAAACCGGCAGTAAAAAGTAGTGCTCGGAAAACACCACCTCCACTACCACCGAAACCAGCGGTTTGTAATTATTCTTGGTGTATCACTGTGTTATCGAGACAAAATATGCAAGAATTATTATTTAGATTTCTTATTAAGAAAAAAGTAAGTGGCAAATATTTAAAAGTTATTTTCCAGAAAGTAAGGAATTATATCTCAATTCAGTTTGAGATCGTTCTTGGTCTTCCACAAATCTCACTCAAACTATTCATGTAGGAAAATGCAAAAATAATAAGATACTTGAGAGAAAGTCACGGTCTCTTATTTTCTTTACTAAGTAACTTTACCGATAATTTTGCCTCCATCACCGTCTGAAAAAAAAGTGAATTTACTATACGAAATACAGTTAAGTTGGATATTTGCAACGTATTTTATTGATAAAATAATTGAGCTTTTGGCAGATAACTTCTGATAAGCAGAAAAAGTGAGATTTCATATAATTGATAATTGTAGCATATTGTCATTATGGTAGATAATTTTTTTTTTTTTTCTTTTTTGACACCTTTCGTTGTCAGATAGTCTGGATCCGTTAAAAAAATAGGAGAGGGAGAGGGTCATCTCTTCGAAGAAGAAAATTTTTTTTTTTTTAGAGTGTGAAACACAATTTGTAGCATTGCATTTGATGCCGTGCATTTCGGAAGATAATAATGTTTAAATTAGCTTATTCATTCATTTTCTCAGAAATCTTACTGTAGACAACAGAGGGAATGATGGTGCGAGAACCTGATTTTTCCATTTTGGACAAGAATGCGTGACACCGATTTCGTGTCGTTTAAAATTCTATATATACAAGCAAAGATAAGGAAAAGAGAATAAAAAGGAATTGATCTACGCGGTTAGGAAAGGCTAGTGAAGGAACAGAGAAGAGAAGGGGAAATTTTTTTTGGTGTCACCCATAAAGATGCGATAATAGTATCACTAACATTTCAGTGATTGTGCATATTTTTCTTTTTTCTGTACTAATGTTATTTTAAGGGCAATAATATATTACATTTAATTTTGCAAGAAAAAGATCGCATGCTTGTGTTTAGAATCCTTGCCCGTTCATATATCCTCTACAGAACTAGTGTTGTTTATGCCCGTGACGTATCACCGTTCGAATAATAAAGCCTACTTATTTATTTAGTATATTGTTTATCAGGCTGGTCTGTGGCGTTTCACCACGATATTCAGCTATTGCTGTTCTGAAAATTCTTATTTTTGATTTTCATGATATTCCGAAACCGTAAGACAAATTATTTGTCGTTTTGCGCATGTTTATTTTAACTAACTAGTCGTTACCGCAAAACAACTTCATGCCGTTGGCATTAAATTTGTTTCTTCTCATCAGTCAAGAGATTTCTGCTTCTCTCAGTGATAGGTTATCTACATCAGTATCATATTTTTTCACAAAAAATTAGGAAATGTGCAATCCATTTATGCCTCGAATTAATTTTGGCGTCATGTCACCATTTTCTGCTTACATCGATTTCATTGGGAATGAGTTAGCGGTAAGATTAGCAGTTTGTATCAGTTAAAGACATGTACTAATTATTTTAAAGTTTTTCCTAAATTCAAAAAAAAAAAGGTCGAAAATAGTAAGATTCATCTGAAAATTTAGGTCAAATATTTGTTAAATTCACATTCAATCGTTTTCTTTATTCAGTAGTTTATTTTTCGTCTATAAAGTAGTCCTCATTTGAGCTACTTTTGAATACACCAGAAAGGATGTGTAGGATTGCTGTGGAGTGATCTTTCAAAGCACAATTGAACTTCGCAAAATTTCTCCTACGAAAACTTTAATTTCTATTACCAAAACTTTATTTTTGGAAACTACTGAAGTTTCAATTAGTTTCAGTTTGCTTTTAGCATTTAAAACCGTCATGTTCAATCAGTGAACAGTTGGTAACACAGCAAGATGGTCGGGATAGTCTGGGGTCCGAGTCATCTTCCAAGGTTTCTGATGATGCTGATTCGAACGTGGCTGTTGAACTGGACATAGGAAATGAGTTGTTGGTAGCAACAGTACAGTGTTCAGAAAAGATCACATCAGAAGGCAAAACGACAAATACTAACACTAGAGTTGATGTCAGCAATAAAGAAGCAGCCAATGGAATTTGTGACAACGTATGTTACTGATAAATTTGTCCTTACTATGTCTTCCAAGTGCTGCATGTGGTGAATCTCTGAGTTTTTGGAATTTCATGTTTCAGATTAATTTTGTATGTTTGCGCATAGTGAAGTGTACATCCAATTTTTTAGGTACAAGTGAGGAAAAGGGCGCAAACAAATGATAAAGGAACGGAAGAAGCCGCGTATAAATCTCAGCGACAGAAACCTAGTGATCAGGAAGTAAGCGTGACAGTCATGCATTTCTTCCTTTGTTCAGATCAATGATTGAACCAAAATATTTGTTGGCCAAGAAACCTTGTAGGTATTGATGAGCTCTTTGGTATTTATCCAAATCTTTAAGATTTTCATTTCAGATATTGGAAGAATTGAAACAAATAGTTAATGAGGGTAATCCAACAGACCGATACGACTTGCTTCAAAAGATTGGCATTGGGTAATTTTTAGCTTTTTCAAAAATAGGCGAGACACTATGTTAAAAAAGATTAGTTCATCCACTTGCCTAGCAAGGACACTATGTCTAAAGATTTGCGAAAATTTAGATTTGAATCAGTAATTTTCTCCAAGTCTTAAGTGATGTTAAAGTAAAGACCTGTTTTACAATGTTATTTTTTCATTGTTATCACTTTGATTTGTTTTACTGAAAACCGTACATTGTTCCTAAATCTTTAGTGCATCGGGCCATGTTTATACTGCACGCGATAAGATTACGGGTGAAGTAGTTGCCGTAAAGCGTATGGCATTTAAAAGTCAGCCAAAGAAGGAGTTGTTGCTCACGGAAATCAAAGTTATGCAGAAATACAAACATGAAGTGAGTTTCTTATTTTGACAAAGTAATTCTGTGGGATTCCATGTGTTCGTTCACTTATAAGAGAGTCGCAATATAATTTGCTTTTTTGGCGCACGATGAATAACTCACAGTTTGTTTTCAGAATCTTGTCAACTATATTGATAGTTTTTTGGTGGATGCGGACGACTTGTGGGTTGTCATGGATTATTTGGAAGGCGGTAATTTAACAGATGTTGTTGTGAAAACTGAATTGGATGAAGGACAAATTGCTGCAATTTTGAAAGAATGTTTAAATGCTCTTCAATTTTTACACAGGCAAATATTTGTTTTCATGTAATGAATATCTGTAGTTGCAGTTTTACAGTTTTTATTACTTTGCTTTTAGTAAGTGAAAATGGAAATAACCAGAGTGGTGGAATGAGCAGGATCTAAGATATAAAATCGTGAATTTGCCACTGCGTCGCTTACGCTTTGCAATTATTTCATTTATTTTACTTGATTTTCACGCTTTTGAGTTTGTTTATATTTTATCTTTTCAGTCACAGTATCATACACCGAGATATAAAATCAGACAATGTTTTGCTAGGAATGCAAGGTGCCGTAAAATTGACGGATTTCGGCTTCTGTGCTCAGATTCAGCCTGGATCGAAAAGGTTGTTGTAAAAGTTATCAGAGTCATTGTTGCTGGCAAGTATAAATAATTTTCAAAAATTAAGGGCTACAATGGTAGGGACACCATATTGGATGGCTCCTGAAATCGTGAATAAGGTAAAGTACAACTACAAAGTAGATATCTGGTCACTTGGAATAATGGCTTTGGAGATGCTCGATGGTGAACCACCATATCTTTATGAAACTCCCATCAAAGTTTGTTTACTTTTATGCAGAGTTATGTTGTAATGTTTATATATGTGAAGGCATGCAACATTTTCAAATGTCCATACAGTATACACCTCATTTCAGCGGACATTTGGTTAAGTGATTCTGCACCAGAGTTCGACATAGTGGTAATTCAGACCCGACGGTTTCCGTCATCACTAAAATTAAAACTGAAGAGATTAATGTTATTGTGTTCTTCTTTTCTCTCTATTTTCCATTGTTTCAGGCAATATATTTGATAGCTCAAAACGGAAAACCCGAAGTCAAGAAGAAGAGTTCTTTGTCTCCAGAATTTAACGATTTCCTGGATCGTTGCCTATGTGTAAAACAGGAAGAACGAGCTGATGCTGAGGAATTGTTGCGACACCCGTTTATCCAGATGGCAAAACCATTAAGTTCACTCATTGCTTACATACGTGCAGTCAAAGAGCTGAAGCAACAGCAAAGGTGAAATCAGTGTAGTGGTAAGGGAGAAGTAATTTTGACTTATATGGATTGGAACACCGCTATATCTAGTAAGTTTTGCAATGTTTTACTTAAAGTTTGTTTGTTGAAGGTTTATTATTTGCATCATTTTTGTTTGTGTATAACTTAAAGTTAATCCGTTAAAGTAATTGTGAAACATAGAGCTTTCTTTCAGTTTCTTTGTTATCACTCCTCTCTCTTTGTTCCATCTTGTGTTTTGTAATTGTTAGCACTCTAAAGATTTGAGATAAATGAAGTAGATTACCATTCATTCCTCCAAATTCTCTTTATTTTTCCACTTTTAATGGCTACTCCTAAAATTATGTCGTGGATTTTTTGTTGTTCATTATTGATAGGATAGCGGTCGTATAGTTTTCTACAAAAAAGTATACATTTTTATTGCTTTTTGTGAAATCAAAATAATTTGGAATTATGGGTATTTGGAGATTAGAATTTAAATTAACTGTTTTGATGTCAGAATTAAGATCATTATCTAGGTCTCGCTCAATTTGCCGCAGGTGCATAAAAACTGCTCTCTGTTTGTTTTCGCTAATTTCACAATTTTACTGCTCGCCAATCCAAAACTCAACGTATTCTTTCTTTATATTATTTGTGCTATTATCCCGAAAAGCTATTTATTAATTGGTCACTCCTTCAAATTTTAGATGCTTCCACAGTTTTGTAATGAGCTATGAATATTTGTTTGATGGATAATTGATGTTATTGGTGGTAGGGAATCATGACGCTATTTGATGAGTGTTAACCAGTAATTAATTAGTTACTTGATTATAATGCTGACTTAAGGCTGTCACCTTCTGTTGTACTTTTAGTGCATGATGCATTAACCTGGAATGCAAGGTCCAACTCAAATTGTTCTTACATATCTTGTGAATATCTTTCTATTACTTAGTAGTTTTAGAAGCAAAATCATTGTCATAAAGATATCAATAAATTGATTACAACAAGGTAAAGTATGTATATTTATACATATATATTAATTTACTTATTTATTGTAATGGCTATATTGCTACAATTATTAATTTGTATTATTCGGGTGTCTATTTGCACATATCACAGCAATATCGTTATCACCTTTGTCCCTAATAATTTCCGTGGATCTAATTTATGTCCATAAAATTTGTCAGTACAGGTCTATTTACGAAAAACAAAGTTTTCATTTTTTTCTTTTGTCTGGTTGTCTCATCTAGGAAGCTCTGAGAAAAAATTGTTTTGCCAAGATTGACTGGAGGGAAAAGAGTAAGTAGTTAAACGACTAAATATAAATTCGAAATCTGGTTTTATGTCATATACTTTGTTTTCTTTTTGCATTTTTTAAACCTGTTATTTTAAACTTTGCCAAGTTAATTTGTCACTAAATAATGAGTTGCTTTTTTCTTTTTATTATTTTAGAAGCTAATTACTCGCATTTCCTTCCGGTTTCCACTTAATATTTACCACGTTGTAAGTTTAGTCATTTTTTATGTCTGGGAATTTTGTCACATGGCTTTTTCATGAAAATGTTCGTGGTCTTTCTGGAATCAGTGGTACATGATATTCAGACTTGAATTAAATTGGATTTCTAGGATCTTTAGCCGGTATTTTACAGGTAGAGTTCTGGGACTTTTGATTAACTGTGCAAGGATTTTTCATTATGGTTTCAAAGTTATTTTGGAATCTTACTGTTGAATGTTGAGCTATAACGGTCATGTGAAGTGATTATATTGTCCATCAGCGCCTTCCCTATTGTTGTTTGCATTATTATATATTGTTTCTTCACCTGCTTTGTTTTGTTACCTAGAAATTAATGTTTTTTTATTCCACATGTTTTCCTTATATGTTCGTAATTTATTATGCTCAAAGTTCGACTCTCGGTGCTTATAATACGTCACTCTCCACTGTCTTTTATACATGTGAACCCCTTTTAAATGTTTTCGTTTTTCTCCAGGAATATAAATTAGAATTGATGACGAGCATACATGCCAAGTTCCAAATGGAGATGACTAATCCAATGACAAGTAAGAAGAAGAAAGGCGCAAATTAGTTAAGCTTAGTTTAGTGATGAGATGATTTCCGTTGTGAAAGCGTGGATGATAGCGCAGTAAATAAAATTTGAGGGCCATAGGGAGGATTAAAATTAGCGGCCAAGCAAAACACTACCAAATGAGTCTCACCTTAATTTCGTAACCATTCTGAATGTTACTACATCTAAATCAAACTGGTGTTTTTGTCTAATAGTAATTTCATTAGCCGATCAATGCGTAGCGTTCTCTGAACTTCTTTGATGCACTTTATAATATCACACTCATCTCTAGTCACCCTTTCTACGAAGAAGAGTTGATCGAATAGTATAATCCCAGCGGTCTGATGATTCATTTGTTGTACGATCTACGGCACGTTTTTCGTGATGCAACATGCGATTCTAATAACTTCCAGGACCGAGATGGTTGTAAAGAAGTGGGTGATAATATGAAAATTTAAGGTTACAGATTATTTAGGGAAGTTTTAGTGCTTCTGTATACCTGACTTCATAGTGGCATGTGCAAATCAATAAGATTGTTATCTGTAGCAATAACTTATTGCTAGGTGGAATTCAAAAAAATCTGAAATTTGGTGGGAAGATAGAAGCATACCAGTATTTATTTAACTGTACGGAGAAGTCCGTAATTTATGTGGTGATGTTCATAATAAGTGTTATCGTTTTTAAAATCAGTTACATAATATAAGAAGCGAGACTATTCGTTGCTAGTAGCGATGAGTTGATAGTTTCTCATCCAGTAAAATTTTACTTTTCAATAACATTTGCTTTCAGTAGTACGTCCTTGAAGTAGAAAGGCAGGAAAGGGTAGCCGAGTCCGAGATAAAATTTGGACTGGAACTCAACCCTGCAATGACTTTTTGTGTGTTTCAAATATTTTAACCAAGTTTGGAGTTCTTTACAAATCAAAATTTCTCAAGTACAGTCAATTTCTGCTATCTGATGCAATTGTTCACCTATCTACGGAGTCTTTCAATTTTTAGAATCTAGGTGAATTCATAAGAATTGACCAGTGCAATCGGAGTGCGTGTAAGAAAGCGGAAAGTCCTTCCATGAGTACCAAAATTGAGACGGTTAGAACACCGAATGCAAAAAATACCAAATAAGCAGCGATATAGCCAGCAATGCCAGAAATACTAAATGCTTGAACAAGTACCATTTCCCATAATACTTCCGATAATTCTGTAATATTCGCATATTTTTCTAATTCAAGTAAATAAGTGAAGCCGGTACCAAAGCAGAATTATTGGGACATTTCGTTGTTCATTATTTAATGTTAATGAAACTATGCTAACGAGAATAAACTAAAACTTCTGGAAGCTTTAAGATCTTGAAGGATAAAAAATTAACTATTAATTCATTTCTAAATATTATTTGCATTTTAGGAATTCTGGCAAACATTACTAAGCATAGTTTTCATTAGGAGTATGACTGGTTAAGAAGCCAACGTCGTTCTTAAATTCAAGAATTTTAGTAGAAATATTAGAAACAACTATTGTCCATCGATAGATGTAAAGCTTTATAGCAAAAAGAATTTTAAAAACAAAATGATTAGGAGTAACTTACGGGCATGTGCTAGTGATAGAGCCCATAGTCTAAGGTATGATGCTGTATGAGACACACAACCAAGGACATACTCAATTGTGTGGATTGCTTGATGAACCATAACGTCCCCAAATGACTCAAAATAAAATTTGCTATATGAAAATGCAGCTATTCATTCACGTCCTTTTGCATTTTCAAAGCTTTTTTCGTTGAATTTGGGTTTTGAATCAAAGAAGAAATCAATGAACTTACCTCTTCCTCGCATTCATTATCAGATATAGTTTCTTCCCAATCTTTTTTATTTAAGCCGCTTCCATTTTCGTTCAAAGTTATTTCCGCCTTTTCGCTTTCCTGGTTCATCCATATTACCTAATGAATGAAGAATTTGCTGCGAAATTTGTGCTATAAATTTTGGAAGAAGGCCAAAGAAGTATATTATAAATCTCAAGGTGATTATGCTGACATTAAATGAATCATGACAACGATCAGCTTATTTGAAAATGATTAAGGGAAGACAAGGAAGTCATAATTTGATGATGTTTGACAATTTTATCTTTTAAGACCATTTTTGGATTTCCAGTAATTTTTTGAGCTTACAGCATTATCGCTAATGACATTTCTCTTCTTGCGATGTAGTAGAAAATGAATCGGTTTGCCAAATAACATTACTGGTACGCAAATTACAGCTATTATAACCAGAATTGCTTCGAGGGTTGACTGAAACTTTCTTCGATTTAAAAAAAAAAAAAAAAAAAAAAAAAAAAACTTTGTAAATCTGGGAAAAACTTGAAAAGTTAACTTAACAACATTATCAAAAAGATGCTTGCCTGTCCAGGATACCATTGACTAAGGTAACAATCTGGCCAGTTCTCATATGTAACGTGACCATCATTTTGAGAAACAATTTTCGATTCATTTAGAAAGCCAAGCCGACGATATTTGAACATAAACATGTTGATGAGACCAATCTAAAATACCTCGTACAATTCTTATAAAAATTTAATTTTCAAAAATTGTAATTCTAAAACTATGAATTACCAACAATGAAGGAGCGCAGTTTGACCCTGGATAAAGCAACCCAAAGATGTATTCCTCTTGAACCCAGAAGAATAGCCATTTGATGATGATTTGGACACACAAGTAGATAAATATACAGAGCATGAACAAAATCTGTGGGATAAACACTGTGCATATTTCAATTTTTGATTTGAAGTATCTGAAATCGGCCAAATATGTCAGATTTAGATCAGATAGATCTTAGCAAACATATAGATGACTAAATTGAAATGTTTTAGTCATTAAGGATCTAAATGAAATAAATGGATTTAAACTAGGATAACACAACCTCATGGCTTGTTATCAGTACACAGTGATGAATGATCAAACAATCCTGAACGTATTGTTGAGCAATTGATCATATTTTACAAATTATTATCATTACCAATAAAATTGTTAAATAAAATCGGGACAAATCCTCCTGGTAACGTACATATAATTTAACAGTGATAAGAATACACCAAATGTCATCTGAGCAATTCCGAGTATGACTGATAGTTTCATTTTTAAGGAGTTTGAAAAGTTTAGTCGATTCTCTGCTAAATTCCATACAGGATCTACACCAAACCAATAAGGCCCACTATCATGCATATAGGATCGTGATGGCGGCAAATCGATCATTATTTCTTTATGCATAAGGATCGATTGACTATCCCAAGATTCAATCTCCGCATTACTACAAAAAATGCGCTGAAGAAGTTGTATGAAATGATTCATTAGCTTAAATTTTTTTTTTTGTAGGGAATGCTTCAACTGCAGGCTATAACCAGTTTTTCCATCATCAGGTACCAATCAATCAAAGCTTGACATGTTATAAAAGAAAATAAGCAGAAGCATTCCGTTGCTGTGAAATTTCCAGTTCTAACAATTTAATTCAATTTAAATTAAGGTAAAAATTAAAGCTCACGGGAATGGATTACGCCATTTTGAACCGAATAGATTAAATGATTTAGCAAACAGATCATTGTAGAGAAAACCTGCATAAATCGAAAAAATGCCCATAAGTAAAATAATGTAACGACCGCCGTAAAACATGTTGAAAATCTGTAAATTTTATTTGAATATGAACATCTTACAACCATAATTTTTTTTTTTTTTTTTTTTTGAGCAATCGTGAGCTAATCATAACTTGATAACTAATCTCTCTCTCTCTCTCTCATCCTAACGTTTTTTTTTGACCATAATATTACCTCATCCTTAATATTACGTGCTGCAAGGTTCTTCTCCCGAAGTACCATCCACAAACCAACCAGGAGCATTATTATACCATGTCCAAGATCACCAAACATGCAGGAAAAAATAAATGGGAATGTTATGATAGTATAAGGAGCTGAAATTGGAGTTAAATTTGTGCAAATGGCTAAAAATTGTCAAAAATTTTCAAAACTTCGTAAAATTGAAATATGAATCATACCTGGGTTGATTTCCAAATAAGAGGCAGTACCATAAGAATCAACGATCGCCTGGAAAACTCTCGTGAATTTGTTAACTCGATTGTATGTAGGTGGCTCTTCGGTAGTCTCCAAAAGATTTAGAACAGGTCTCACACTGCTACCACTTTTCCTCTGCAATCATAGCTTAGTACTTGAATTACTTTTATTTATATAACTGTTACAAAAGTTTTCCATAGCATTCACAAACTATGTGATATCTGTGGAATCATGTAACCTTTAAATTAGTCAATAAGCTCATTTTCAACACAAACAACTTCTATAGACAAGCTTCCAAACGTCAGCCCAGCAATTTCCCTAAACTTCTAAGATCTGAAAATTCATCAATATTTAAAACCTCTTACCACTCCTTCTTCAAGAGCTAAGCGGACATTTTCGAGATCAACGTATGGTACCCAACATTCAGCAACGAAAAATTTACCAATAGCGTCAAAGGTAAAAAGGTTCAACGTATAGTAAACCGATTTTTGCATGCGAACCTAGAAATGATTACTAATTAAATGGTTTGGATGTTAATTCTTAATAGGAAAACCTCATGTAAAAGTACCAATTCTTTATTTGAATCTAGAAACTTTAAACAACCTCTTTTTGCCACTGCCTGACAGAATTGGAAGCAGCCTGAAGCACCTTATACCGATGTTCTTGAGTTTGGCCCAGTACCGTACGCATATCCGATATGCGTGCTTTTACATCACGTGCTGCTGCATGACGATCCTTAAACATCGAGAATAAGTTATATAAATCATCGTACTTTATTATCAAACTTATACTCAAAGCAGTCAAACCTTGCTGTTCTTTGGACAATTGTTGTAGAGTTTAGCCTTGAATCCTTCACAAACTTTCTCGATGATAATCCGTAAACGGTCGCCTTTATAAAAAATCAAAAAGACTGACTTCGAGCAGATTTCACCCTGAAATTTAAATTTGTTTTTACCAATAGTTGGGAAACTTGATTAAATGATGAAAAATTGAATTTAATTGAAACAAAAATAAAATATAGCAAACAAAAAAAGAAAAAAAAAGTGGGAAACAAGAAAAAAAATTAAATGAATACAAGACTGATTCATTATTTTAAAGGTTTTCTTTTAGATATGAATCCAATTAGAAAGTGAGAAAAAAAATGCTAAATTTGATCTCTGAAACAACAAATGTTCAAAAACATACACTATCTGGATTTTCTAATTCCTCCTCAATATCGGTAGTACGTATAAATGCTGTTTTATGACAAGCTCGCCATAAAACTTTCTCGAAGGCATTCACACGATCACGATTGACGACACCTGCCAAAAACCTAGAATTGAAATTAAGAAAACCTATGTAAATTAATAGCATTAGTTTAAGCAAATCCATCGAACTGTAACAGCTGTTAAATAGCAATATTCGTAAGATTTTTTTCTTCAAATAAAAGTACAAAAAAATGTGTGGCAGTAATGACATCAAAATAATATATTTAATTTTGGTATTTTAACTTCAACTTCAAAAGTACTGAGTTTGCTAATATATAGGCTGTGTAGGAAAATGGAAAATTACCCTATAGGCTCTTTTCCACTTCTGAGTACAAGCGCAGAATCTTCTTGCATTGCTTCAATTTCGTGCATTGCAACATCACTAATGCCCTAAAAACTTCAATTAATTTTAAAACAATATTACCACTATAGTAATTTAGTAATATCTGCACTTCATCACACTCCATAATTGTAAATCCCAAATTTTTCAAGTGAATTTATTAATTTTTTGTTAATAAACTATTCAAATGAAAATTAGTGAAAAATTATATTATTTGGATGGAACATAATGGTAAAGCAAACTTCTTCGAAAAAGTGATCCGTTTTCTCTAGAATTGCTTCCCATTCTTTTAGCTCAAAATAATTCCGTTTCAAGATTATATTATTTTCGTTCATATTGATTACATCACGTTCTAAATCAATCAGTGTGCCCTGTAAAATGCAATTTGAAATATATTCCATTCCTCCATTGATTGAATGTTTTATTGTCCTACCAGAGATCTTAAAGGATCTCATAAATGTACAGAATGCTTCAAAGACAGAAAACTGTTTGCTCCCTGTACTCCTGTTACTCTCCTATCCAGCTCAAGAAAACTTCGAAGATTTATAATAATAGCGGTAACTAGGTATTTCTAAGTTTTTCCTTTGAACGAAATACAAAACTAGAAATATTATTTGAAATAAAAATCAAATTTAGCTAACCTCAAGTTGATTGAGTTCATGTGGTGCCAGTACTTCATATGTGTCATCTCCGCCAACATCATCATTAACTTCAATATCGTCTTTACGTATTTGGGCATCAAGGAATCCTAAAAATATATCATCAGATAAAAAACTTTATTCATTACTGCAAATCCTAAATTTATGTAGTTTAAATAATCATTTTGAAAGATGAATATAATCTTACTTAGCTTCCTTTCCAGTTCTTCAAACCGTTGAATGTCACGAAGATACATTTTTTGGAACGGATTGACATTAGCATTCAACTAAAAATTGTCCCATATTTTTTTTTTGAGAACTAACAGCATCTTTCTTTCAAACTGTGTATTGAACAAATTAATTTTACAAGATTGGAAGTTTTTTTTTCCTTACTTTTTTTATTATTACAGTTTATTGAAACAAAGATGATAGTCCGGTCAAGTTGAATTCTTTTTCTTGCACTTTAAAAGGATGTAAATCGTATCGAAACTCAAATAGAGGGATGGCTTAGATAAAAAAACTAGTTAATTCAAGTACTTTTGTAGATGACCATGGTGACCAAATTCAATTTATATTTAAATTATCACTTTTGGTTTGCTAAGCAAGTTTTCATAAAAACAATTTGCTCAGTAAATATTAATTTGGTCTTTCAAATTTTAGCTTTCAAAAAAAGAATACATCTTTAAATTGAACATAAGGATGTTTGCCAAGTTCAGCAACACAGGAAAATGCAGCATCTTTCTGGACAATCATTTGGCAGAATCGCATCTGCTCTGACCGGTATAGTGATCCCATAGGTAAAGTGAACGAAGTTTAATTTTCGTTTTTTGCTCCTGCAAGAAATTTACAATGATTTTCCAAATTAAATAACTTTAAAATCGTATTCACATTCGATATCTCTAGACAAACATTGCAAAAAAAAAAAAATAATAATAACAATAATAAATGTTTATGCACAGCTATTGAAAGAAAGCGATGACAGGTATAAATAAAGATATTTATTCGTACTGAAAAATACTCATAAATGAGCATGAAGTTGGAAGTGAAGGGCGGAAAAGCATACAGAAAATCAGCCATCACTTAATTTTTTTTGGTATTAATCACAAGGAGTAAGGTAAAAAAATGGTTTGCACAGCAGAAGGCATTCCTTTCTTTTATTGGTAGGTGGAGTTCTACTACAATAAGTTCATAAATAAGTTCAAAAAAAAAAAAATAAATGTTTTTATTGAAATACCAAAAACTCTATATTGAGATAAAGTTATTGAGAATGAACGACGAATGGGAAAAGGAGAAGTTCCAATAAAAATGACTGCTAATATTTGACCTTCTTTCGCCAAACAAATTTCCACATTACTTTAATTGAAAATTGCAGCTGAAGAACAATTGTTTCCGTACGGTTCATAATTTTATTCATTTTACCTTAAGAGTGGTTATAGAAAAAGCAAATAAACAAGTAATTTCTTTATTGATTTTATGATTATTTTCAAGATTTAATTTTATATTTATATACCATAGTTTAGTTAATATAGAGATTTCTTGGATTTTTTTATTTTTTTAAATTAATTTGATTTAATATATGAAACTCATATCAGTTTTTTAAAGCAAATGAAATTCGTTGAAAGACTAATTATTACTTTAGTGATTAGCCGTTCACTAATCACTTTTATAAATAAAATCACTTTTTTATTAAAATAACTGCTTTCTTCCGGCAAGTTTATTAAGATTTGAAGAAGAAATGAATTGTCGATTAAAAGATTTTGTTATACAAGGAAGCATTTTCATATAGCAATGTTATTGTTGATAGAAATTTCGTACTAAAAAATATTATTAGGATGACGATACAAACAGATAAAGGAAAGGAGAAATGTATCATGAAAAAATTGAAGGTCAGTGTGTCTAAAGTGACTCGATTCCGTTATCCTTGACCTTCATGGAATATTTTCTTCAGAATTCATATTAACTCTTTTCCACTCTTCCTATTTCTTTCCCTTTTCTATGCTTAATTCATTGTTACTTTTCTTGCTGATGTTTATTTAATATTTGCTCTTAAATTAATTGAGTATAGCGATACACAGCTAAAGAATGAATATTTTTGGAGAATACAGGAAATGCTTATTGCAATTAAAATGAGCACTCCTAACAAAATCAGATAATATTAATTTTTAAGGCAGAAAAACGGACATTGAATAAATAATTGTTTCCATTTTCATAATCTAAAAAATCGCGAAAATTGTTTGCTATAAATAAGATAGTCTAATTAACGAGAAAATGATGACTAAAATTGGAAATTGGAAGTTTGACAAACTTGAAAATAAATCAAAGAAAACAGGTACAGCACTGGATGATATCTTTTTTTGAAGTTTAACAGCATCGAGCTGCATTAACATCGCAGTATTTTTAATCATCATGATTAAATTTCGGTGATTTTTCTGCTATTCGTTACCTTTTCCATTTATAGACATAACAACAAACTTACTTACATTGAACAGGTACGATTGCTATTCCATTGTTGCTATTTTCAATCTAGTAATTTTGAAATTATCTTACCACCATTTCAATGTCTAATGCAATATTCAAAACAATAATATTATGGAAATCGCAAATTTTGTTTTAATTGTTAACTTTCGAAAATGATAAAAAAATAATTAAAAAAAAAATCATTGCGCTAAAATAATTGCTTATTCAAAACATGATGTATAAAGGTTATCTAAAAAAAAAAAAGAACTTTCTCTTGTAACTGATTTGATCAATAATCATTACGTCAAGGTAGCAAATACTAAGAAAAATTCGACTTTATCTCGGCGATGAATCAACTATCCAGAACTAACCTTTTTTTTTTTCCCGATGGATTGTTCGTCGCCGAAATTATTTGACATTGAATTTTGTTATCACTACTAATTTTTTTTTTCTTTTTGCAGAAGCACTATGTTTACAATTTGTTTGCACACGGTTGTCCACTCTATCAGACCAATCCGTTCAATATGGTTGACAAATATAAAAATGGCAACAACTTCACAATTGTAATGATGCAATATGGCTTATCCTAGTGTGAAGCATTAAGTACAGTTGTGAAAAACTATATCTATTTTGGCCTTATGATGTGAAATATCATAAATAAACAATGTATGTGTACATGAATGTTTTGTAAAGTAAATCTGCTATTTGAATTATAAAATCATGTACATCAAAGGAGAAAAAAAAGAAATCAGGATATAGCAAAACGAAGTACAAGAAGATTAAAATCAATGATTACAAATGCGTTTTTAAAATGATGAAGGGAAGAGGATTTGGCATGAGGAAATATTATTTACAATTCTCAATTTTATCGTCTGTAACAGATGAACATGTGACAAAATAATTACATAAGATGTATAATAGGCTGTGTTACAATATTTCCCGTAATTTTGAATTTACGAATGTTTAAATTTCTTAAATAAATCTCGCTTTAATTTGATAATTTTACATCGATACCTATTTAATGATTGCAGCAGAACTTGTCTGTATCTAACAATTCGCACTGGTCCGCACAACAGTAGATGGTATCAACTCCTTCTCATCCTCAGTGCTTATTTTCCATTCTTTTAGATTGATTTAGATTCCATAGCAAGTTTAACCTTCTCATTTCTGCAGGATATGTTAAGGTTAAAAATTAAATTAGGTAATTCAAGAAGAATATAAGGAAATTAAGAGATACACAAAAATTAAGAGAAATGCACAATAATGTAGCAACTACTTTGCATTACGAATGAACCAGTCATGCTTTGCTTTGGAAATTAGTTTTGTTGAAAATTGTGTAAAATAAATTGGAATTATAAAATAATCAATGAAAAATTATCACTTAAAATGAAATATCAACAAATGATGTGAATAGAGGTTAAAAATTTGTCAAGTTAAAAACAAAGGAAAAAAATGAAATGCAACACTGTAACCTGCAGTAGTAGTAGCAGATTCTCTATCTCAGAAGAGTCCGTTTTTTTGAAAAAGAGAGAATGGTGAATAGGTGAACTGAGGGTATTACGAGAGCAAGAATAGAGTGATGAAGGAAGCTCGTAATCATAAATTGGTTTAATTATGATATTAACAGTAAGATAGTAATAATAATGTTGACGATAACGATAATGACAGTTACAGATGATAGTGGTTAACAGGACGCAATGATGATAAATGATCACCCTTGTTACAGTATCATACATCAGAATGAAAATCATGGAGAAGAAAAAGCACTTCGAAATCTCATGCGACAGGTGGGAGAGAGTAAGGGTGAAGAGGAAGGTGGGAGGGAAGGGGGACATGGATGGTGATTGATCTTTGTTCGTCCCCATCCCCTTCTCATGTCGAGACTACTTACTGGTTTTCGGTCCTCATGCAAGTGAAAAATATTTCTGCTCGTACAGTGTCATAAAACTAGTTCTTCTTTCTTGTCACATATCAGAAAAAAGCTTCCATTTGTTAGATCGCAAATGTTTTCCCTTCCGTCACAATTATCTCTGTAATTCCGCATACCAATAGCGTAACACAGCATATGCTACGCTTCCGTATATTTATGCCTATTTATATGTGTTTGTATGCTTGTATGAAATTTTAATCTTTTCCCAATTTTCCAAGTATTTTTGATGATTTTTGAAACAAAACAAAAACAAAAATAATTCGTTCAGTCTATTTCCATGGTACGATAATTCGTGATATTGAAAATAATACACTTTACGTCTGAATACTTCATGATAATCTACAGGTTTAAATTCGAAATAGTTTACGAACAAAATATATGCACTTTAATATATGATGTAATTCATACCTTTGACCCTCCCCGTTTCCGATAGTTTTGAGTATTTTTAACTACAAGGAAGGGTGACATCAGATTTGGAAAATGATTTTGGTAATCGAAAAAAAAAAGAAAAAAAAAACATGTAAAAGTGTAAGTTCTGTGAAGGAAACGAAAGTGGGAATATGCTAAATATAAAAGCAATAACCGTCATACTTTCAAACATTCATTTCTTCCTTATATATATATATACATAGGAATGAAATGAATATATATATATATAAGGAGTATAACAGCAAATATTTGATAGAAATTAATCCATGAAATAATTCCTGAGTTTTAGACGGACTGAAATAATACTCAGTAACAACAACTGATTCCACCAATGGATGCCTAGTTATGATTCAAGTTATATTGAAACATAAAAAAAGTGACTGAGAATAAAAAAGGAAGCCAAAGGCTTTCAGATAAAATTTCGAAAGTGAAACAAGAGACCATAGTGATTAGCCGAATTACGCGCAGGAGATTCCTGGACTTCATCGGGATGACGGTTTTTGGGAAAATTGCCCAGATGGGAATTTTTGGAAAAAAATGTATATAGCTAGGTAGGAAACAGAAATATTTAAATTTTCAATTTATCAAATATGGGTGAATTTAGTTCAATAACTATTCCCTCTTTTTTCATAGATGGTACGGAATGGATAGTGTGAGGTTTTTCCTTAAATGATTCATTTATGTTTTAAGGGCAGAACATTCCGGAATTCTACGATGTACAAATGTTGCCCTTAGACGGTACCAACAACCCTCGGGATTACTGACTCATTCCGCTTCATTTTGTAATCCCAAAAATACCCAAAGTTCACTAATAAGTCAAAGGTCAAAAGGTCAGGAAAATTTTTCTAAAGATTTTAGACATTAATATTTTTCTCACATGAAATTTCTTATTAAGTGATTTCAAGATCACCCGTTTCAAGTTTTCTGCTTTAAATTTTCTCTGTTCCCCAAATGATGCCAACATTCCTCGAGATTTCTGACTTAATACTTTAATTGTGCAAATTATCCTTAGCAATAATGCCATATATAGATCATGTTTCAGTGTCTTTAAATGGTACTACGATAGGTTTGTTTGCTTGAATCCCTGTTTTTATATTTAACTCCTCACCGTGCACCTTGCACCTGTTATATTCTTGGAAACTAAACTTGTTGGATAGAATAATTTCACCAACAGCTAGAAGAGATTGCATCAGTGAAATGTATTCTGCTCTCATCCGTAATCGTCAAAAAGCACGTGATACGTAATAAGTTTCATCAAAGGTATGAGCGAGCAAATAATTGGTCGAGTTTTGCTGGTTTTCGTCATTGCGCTTCCGCGATGCATTCATCAATAGGCGTATTGGGAGGCGGCGACCAGCCGATGAATGGTATTTTGTGCAGCGCATCGGAGTGCAGCAACACAGCCAGGTTGCGTTGCCCTACGTGCATCGAACTGAAATTGAAGGATTCCTACTTTTGCTCCCAGGTTAGTATTATTATTCAGTTCGGACCTATAATAGTTCGTCACGTTCCAGAGGAATTTCACTTTAAACTGAAGGTAATGTTCAAAAATAATGAGGAGGATGGGTATTTAGAGTATTTTCCGGTGTTGGCCAGAATTAGGAGAGTATGATAAATAGATTACGGATGAAGCCATTAGGGAGATGCTGGATATCGTCATTGTTGTATTCGGATCTCAGAAAGTTTTACCAAAAAATGGATTTCGATATGATTGACATTTTGAGGTACTTCCCGAAACAGATGTAGAAACTATACAAAAGTATGGTCACGTCATGAATTCATCAATATACTAGTCTCTTGGTAGCCTGCCGTCCAGTTCGAGCTGTAGACTTACTTATTTTTTACATTTTTTATTATTTATCAAATTTTCTGAAACTAAACATTAATCGAATAGGTTCATTTTTCCAGGCATGTTTCAAAAATAGCTGGGCATTTCATAAATTGATCCACTTAGCATGTACTTCGGAACAATACAATCCATGGCCTTATTATCACTTTACCGGGTTGTTACGTCCAGCACCAATGGGGCAGAAGCGCGGGGTTCCAAATACTATCGCAAAACCTGATTATGCATTCCGTGCAGATGGGATTTCGGAAGCCGAACAACTTGCAAGAAATATTAATGAGATTAAGGTTAATTCAATAATGCTAAAAAGTGGAAGGTTTTTTCAATTTTGTCGTTTTGCAAGCTTTTTCTTCTGTAGTTCATTTTGTAAGACTAAGCATCGATTTAAAATAATCGAATTAATTTCTGAGTTTTTAGAAGTTTTGACAACGAGTAAAAATTTGAGGCTCAAAATCGTAATATTTTATTAAAAAACTGAATTTACTGTGTGAAAAAGGACATCATTTTGAAGAGCTAATACCATATTGTTTAGGAATAAGTATGAAATTGAGCATTTCAGGTTCTCGATGATAATGAAATAGATTGCATGAGAACAGTTTGTAAACTGGCTAGGGAAGTGCTGGATGAAGCGGCTCGAGTTTGTGAACCTGGTATTACCACAGATCACATCGATGCTGTTGTGCATGAAGCTTGTATCGAAAGAGACTGTTACCCTTCTCCTCTCGGGTAGGATTTTAGTTTAATTATAACTTATTTATTACTTCAGGTAACTTCCATGCATGCACACTAAGTTGTCATGATGGATATCATACTTCAAGATTTATTATCAAATCAAAATTAAGCTGTTTAGAATTGTACCATTCAGAGTTATTTAGATATCATCAGTTTCCGAAGAGTGTTTGTACATCAGTTAATGAAGTCATTTGTCATGGGATCCCAGATATGCGAAAACTTGAAAATGGCGATATTTGCAATGGTACTTTTTAGTGTAATTGCTACTCCTTTTTTTATTCAGTTAATCTTCAGACGCGTCCTAATGCTTTTTGATTTTGCAGCATGAAGTGATTGGTAGTAAATGCTAAATGAACATAATTTTCAGTTGATGTGACAGTATATCATCGTGGCTTTCATGGCGATCTAAACGAAACATTTCTGATCGGTGATAGGGTTAAGGAAGATACGAGGAAACTGGTGAAAGTTACATATGAATGCTTGCAGCATGCTATTGATCTCGGTGATTATAGCTATCTAAAAGTGGTTTTTCGCACATGTAGAATTTGCACTAGACTTTTTTTTTTCTCATCAAAAACACCGTTTTATGGATTTAAATGGAAGCTGTTAAACGCTTAATTACTTCAGTTCGTCCGGGTGTGCGTTTCCGTGAAATTGGCAATGTTATCCAAAAACATGCAAATGCGCATGGCTTATCGGTTGTTAAATCATATTGTGGACACGGAATTCACAGGTTTTTGGGCACCTCTTTTTTTTTGAACTCTTTTGGTACTTTTCATTTAGAATAAATTCCGAAGTCTCGATATTTTTCAATAGTTTGTCTCCTATTGACCACTGTTTCAGGCTTTTCCACACTCTTCCGAATGTGCCACATTATGCAAGTAATGCTTTGGTTTTATTCATTTATCTTCGTGTTTAAGATTTCATTTCTATTCTCTTAATCAAAAACAAGCGAACATTTTCCAAATATTAAAAACAATGGTGAATGATTTCCGGGTCTGACCTAAACGTCATTCGCTTTTATTTCAAGTAGCTTTTTTGGTTATCTTTTCTAGAAAACAAAGTGACAGGAGTTATGAAGGCTGGCAATACATTTACCATCGAGCCAATGGTTAACGCTGGTGGACATAACAACGAACGTTGGCCGGACAATTGGACTGCCGTCACTGTGCGTTTTCTACAGTATTTTTTCTCTAATATCGAGATGAAGTAAATTTTCCGGATTTTAGAAGATTAAATGAGTTTCATTGTGGTAATTATTTGACTAGTTTAGAGTGATGGGAAGCCCTCGGCACAATTCGAACAGACATTGTTGGTGACTGAGTCCGGATGTGACGTGTTAACAGCTCGAAACACAGGCCGCCCCTGGTTTATGGATCAGCTAGAAAAAAGTTATTCCTCAAATTAGGTTACGTAGCTTCCCACCTCTCCACCTTCTTTTTCACTTCGATATATCGAAGAAATTTTTGCTGCATTAGACAGATTTTACGAAACCATGATTTCATCTCTTCTCCAATTGAAAATACACATTCATTGCTGGTATTTAATGATCATTTGTGACCTTATTTTAGTATTTTCTTTTTACCAGTTATATTTAGCCCCGCAGTACTGATACGTGAGAAATAAACATCTCGGAATTTGATTTGAAGCCTTGTCTCGGTGTCACAGTTGTGACGCTAACTGTAAATTCATTGCTTGTGAAACTGTCTTATTGGCCTATAATCTGTACCACATTTTATCTAAAACAAAAGTGAGTAAGAAAAGTAAGTTGTAACTCCCTAACTCTCATCTGCTTTCCTCTCTCCGTACGAGATATAATTCAAGTTGTCTCAGTACAATTCCAAGTTAGTCCTAAAATCATTCTATGTTCTTGATCTCTTAGCGCTAATTTCTTTATATTGGAACTTATAGGAAGTGTCCATCATGTTACGATATTAATAGAAAATGTTTACAAAAGGAGCATATATGTATATGAACATATTATAGCCGTATAGAACAACATATAAGAGTAAAATAAATGAATCACATCTTTCCTCTCTCACTTCATTCTTTGTTTCTTGTTTTCCCCTTGAAAGGTTTTTTTTTTTTTTTTTTTTTTTTTCTCAATTGAATGGTTACAAGTTTATCCTTTATATGACACCACTATTTAGCTAAGTCATCCCCACCACGGCCCTTCAAACGTCATCCCTCAGAACTGAAGATTTCACTGATCTCGGAGCATTTTATATATCAAAAATTTTTTAACGAAACTTTGGAAACTAACGCTAATTTGAATTCCAAATGTCATTCATGAAATCTATTGCATTATTATTTTCATAAAATCCATACAACGTGTAATATCTTATCTACTCATCCTTGGGTTAAACGAATTATTAAGACGTTAATACAATTCTTGGAATTGAAATAGAGTCTATAAATACAGCAAGTGTTGTAAAGTATGGGAATATGTGTTGAACAAAATATATGCATATATGCACGAATTCTGTGCACTAAACTCATATAATTGCTGAAATACTAACACTAAAGAAATAAGTAATGAACAGAAATAAGTGTTGATGACGAAGGTACACCTATAAAAATAGGTGTCAATAGAAGTTGATAAAAAAGTGTATGAAGTGAAGCTCCAACTCCACCAGTTACGGATATATAGTAATACCATTTCCCAGCCCTCTCTTTAGCATCTTATACCACCTAAAATAGAATAGAAGATTAAAATCCTGAAACTTGAAATTTAAATATCAGGACACCTCTTTAATCGACAATATATTAATAATCAACGCCAAATGAATAACCTTTCAGCACTTCCTGAATGTGCAACTCGAAAATGAAGTGAAATACAACTACTCTTGTTCACTTGATTAGCATGCCGTAGCTCAAACAAACGACCACCATCATCTAATTCTTGAACACAAAGTGTAAATCCTATAAGAACATAGCGCGCCACAGGATCCACATCCTCAAATGTTATAAATTTTCAATTAACAAATTCTTCAATTACCCTGCAAGACCCCTTTGTCTGTTATTAGCACTTTTTTCTCTGTAATTGGAGACATCGTAAAAATCTTTTTCATCGGAAAAGACTATTATAATTTACAAAGCATTTACATAAACTCACAAACTCCGCATCATAAAAGCAAAGCACTAAGACACCATCTGCATGCGATGTAAGCCGACCCCACTTTTCATTTTCACCACCTTTTTGATTCCTGAAAAGAATAAAAGATTCATTAGCAACATGAAAATGATCGTAATACATTATAACAGAAATGAATCTAATGCGGAGTGAAAAAAAGTAACCTGAGAAATACAGTACCAGATACTACTCCTTCGGCATTTCGACTGGGAACATTAGTTTTAGTAAGTGATTCATTTTCCGGAGCTGTGAAAGTTGTATTTCCTAAGTCTCCTTTCCCTTAAATCACATTTAGTGTATGTTAGGAAAACAAAAAATTAAGCAATTTGAAATTATTCAAAGCAAATTCAATCTTTCTAGAATATAATAGAAGATGCAAATTTTCAGATGGGTAAAAAAATCGTATTGAACAAACATTTTTTGGTGATTTTAACATAGCATTCTGGACAAACTTTGGTGCGCACATAGTAACTGCTAGTTTTGACTGGAGCATAACCAACACAAGAACGACATATCAACTGTAAATGAATGTTTAACAACTAACTAGGAAATCGATCCAGCGAAATCCAAAAATTTTCGTGACATTCAAAACTTTTACTAGAAAAAAATCTTTAAAGCGACTTTATATCCGAAATGAAAATTTCACTTATTCAAAACAAAACAAAAAAAAAATGTAATCCGCGATGAAAATTCTCGGTCAATAACGTCATTTAATATGTCAAAAATTTTTTCTCATATTATTGTACAAGGTGATATCAACATACAAGTTCTGTATAACATATTTTTTGTAACATATTTTAAGTGAAATTTCCTTGATAAAATCAAAAAAAAAAAAAATTATTCCTCCTAAAGGTTTATAGCAGTTGTAAAATCAAAATTGAAAACTGTTTCTCCAACAGGAAAATATAAAAAAACAAACGTATCCACATTCACGACAATGATGGCGACGATTCAGAACGTTGAATTTTGTAGAGCAGCCAGCCATCATACATGATGTTGCTTTTGGATCAGGTATCCATAATGGTGTATACTTGTGCTTCCCAGTAATGGACAGTGAGATACCATTATCTAATCCATTGTTTGATGTCTTCGTATCCGATGTGCATTCATCCGTTGGCTCATCTACATGCATTACTCGAACATTGAGGATCTAAAAATGAAATTAGGAAAATTAGGAGTAAAAGAGATATCAAATAACTTTACATGAATCATCTAGGAATAACCTTATTTCTTGCAGCTTTGATGTGACGAAGCTCTTTTGCCTCCATCTTTGCTTCGCTGATTCGTTTCACCCAATCATCTCTTTCTCGCTTCGTTCTAAAGATCCAGCAAAATTCTTTCATTGTTAAAATGTTACATTCTTTCTTTTGTCAAAAGTTTCAAGAATTAAATTATTAGTACAAATCAATCAAACAATGCAAGTTCCTTACTGTGGAAGTACAACATCCTGTACAAGAAACAGACATGTTGTACCTGTTTCTTCTACACTGCTTAGCTGTTATGGTTTTTCGCCCTTTACGACGAGCAGATTAGATTTTGTGACAGTTTACCTAACTGCTTTAGTGATAAACAAAACAATGAGCCTGGAATGAACAAACCTTCAGAAAAAATAAAACATACTTTGCGATAAAAACGGCACTTTTCTGTGTGGTGTACAACTGGAAATGAGTTTCGTATTCGCCATGTTCTTCTGCTTTAACACGAATCCGAGAAACAAGAAATTTATAAAATTCAGAATGAAAATTGGCATCTGTTCCAAGCGAAGGTGTTCTTGAATATTTACAAATTAATAACACATCCGAGAACTGCAATACATCAAAAATTGTCCGAACCTTAGATATTTTTATAGAATATAACATTATAGATTTATTACGTCTTTTTCACATCTGCTACTTTCATGAGCTTTGCTATCCTAATGGTTTGGCAAATGTGAACTGAGATTTCATGTTGGTGTTTCAAACCAGTTGCGAATAGATATCCTCATGATTATGTATCTTATAACTAAGAGCCTGAATAGAATACCGCTATTAGACGACAATGTGCCTCAATATTCTACAAGAAGAAATGATTTCAGTTATCCTCAATAAAATAACATATCTTTTCTAACAAGCAATTTTCTGTTACCTAATGGAATCTTTTAAACTGAAAGAAAAAACGAATTAGAAAAATCCACATCATGAACACTTTTTTCTTGGAAAAAAGGACATACTAATATCAAATAACGCGGCTGTAAATCTTTCCGCGACTGTTTCATCAATTCGCCTTCAAATAAAAGGTGACGATTTGCTTCGAAAACATTAAACCTTCCCTGCAAATTTTAATTTTTATGCAAACTACTGAATATTTAGGCTACTTTTCTCTTCAGTCATAAAAAAATACCTCAAGCTGTCGATACAAGTCAATTAAACGTTTTTCCAATTCAGCTCGACTAATCTGCCGATCAACTAATTCTGATACTTTTGATAACTGCACCAATGCATCTGAATAATACAAAATTTCTCCTTTATGAAACTTTACTAAAAGCGGTAGTATGAATGTGTGAGGCCACTTAAAAACAGAAAAAAAAAAATGTTTTTCGGAATGCCAAAGATAAGCTTCGAACTGAAACTAACCCATACATACTCCCAATTCGTCAGATTCAGGCACTAGGTGCTTTTTATATGCCTCTAGTAAAATTGTATAACGCACAACATTTTGATGAACAATATCAAGTTGCTGAATTATAGATATTTTTCCCATTACTTCTTCCTCGAACTGAAAACAGCAAACCTAGAGAAACGTATTAAATAACAGTAATTCATTTCGAAATATCCCAATTCTGCTCACCTTTGTTGTTGCCCGAGCTAATTCTTCATTTTCTTGAAGCAGTCTGATGAAATCATCAACATGCTTCCTCTTTTCTTTGAGGTAAGGTAGACAGCATTTCAATAAGCCAGCACCGTTTTTTAAGCATTCTGCCATACTTGGAACTCTCGAATCCCTAGAATTATGTAATTTTCATCATTATATAAACTCCCAAAATATATTTCATAATAATTTTTAACGCTACCCAGAGTCAGCAAAATCTTATTCGAACGCTTTTTGTTTAATGATTTTCCTTATATCGCCTCAGATCATATGTTCTTCTAATGAGGAAAAGTCATAACTATTATTTAAAGAAAAAATACCAATTCTCAATTTTCGACGAAATTTTCTCCAACAAAAACTTATGTGCTTCTTTAACCATCAGAAGCTGTTGAGCTATCCGATTGATCAAATGAGGATATCCATTTGGTAGCGTTTTTAAGAAATCGATCCCCAGTTCCTTCCCATATTTTGTCAAAAATTCAGGATATTTCTGAGAAATAATCATAGATAAAGAAAAAAAAGTACTTCGTAAAAAATAGTATTCGTCAACTCTAAATATTAAATACTTACCACAGCAATAAGTTCCAGTTGTTCAACAAATTTTTTCTCAACTGTATAAATCTCGACTGCAGCATAGTGAAGCTTCTTTAATCTCTGATCCTATAATCCTCACTTCATTCATTTTCATGATGACTTTCGAATAACTTCATTTTGCACAAAATCTCCAGTGGAGACTTGACTTCCATCTCTATGGATAAATAAAATAAAAAACAAAAGAAAATAAAAATACTCATTTTATTCGTACTAATTACAAATAAACATCTCCCAATAAGATATTCACCTCATCATATTCTAATTCTAAATTCGTCCGTAATCTTTTCTTCTATTTCCACCTTACCGCCGCAATTTTTTTTTTATTTTTTTGTAAAAGAAACCTCTTCCTGAGAACCGGTGTTGTAGACAGTGTCCATAATTGTTGGGCTGACTATGCTAGTACGACAAAGCGTATTAGTTAAGCTGTAAGCATCACTACTAGGCCTTGATGACGTAGCTTCAGAATCGCAAGAAAGCAACAGTTCGCAATTCGATTCCAGATTCTAAAATACCCATGCTTTCACTTTTAAAAAAAAAAAAAAAAAAAATTACCAAACGAATCTGACATGTGCAGTATTTAAATTTGTTTGTGATAAAAAAAAAAAAATTGGCAGAACGACTCGTTTGTGCAAAATCACCCTTGATTTCCGTATTTTCGAATTGCCAGCAATATTCGAACTATACACCATCACATCTTTCGATGTCCTGAAAGAAAGAGGGAAAAACATTAAAACGTTTAGAGAGGATATCAACACAAAAAAGAAAGGAAAAATAAAGTTAAGCCATAACGTATTTTGCCATTGATCTATATCCGATTTCTGGCTCATTTTCTAAATTGAATGTACAAAACTTATATGATTATTATAAAAACGAAATTATTTTAATCAACAATGGCTATCATGAACGAGCTTCTCTGGAAACACTATTTTTCAAGTCTTCTACTACAACTACATCCAATAATTATCCGAAAATTAATATTTTCTAGATTCCGTTCTATCCCTATTAACAAATAAAACTAAAGCAAGTTACTCCTAGAACCACAGTATTACTGTGTACATCGAAACTAAGATACTAAAATACATCTTTGAAGTACAGTTGTGCAGAATAAATCTAACTGTTAACAAATTAAAGTCAAATGACCTAAATTTACTCACTAATAAAAAAAAACTGCAACTCTGCTATAACATTTTCAATACGATCTTCAGCAGAAACCGTGGGACTGTAAATTTTTTATAAAAGCAGAAAGCTTACAAAGTTACATCTGATTCGAAATTTTTCTCCGCAATCAAAGTTTTTTCATTTGTATTTTCAGCTCTTTCTTCAGAACAATCAAAACTTTGTTCCGAACACAACGATTCTATTTCACTAGAAAGTGGACTACTAAGCTGGAAATCTATCCAAGAACCATCCGAAATAACCGACGACCTCATAGAACTGCAATGCTACAACACTATAAAAACTGCAAATCATCGGATAAACCAATCAAATGCAGGTCTTATTTCATTAATGTCATCAGCCCTTTCTTCAAAACAATCGAAACTTTGTCTCGAACACGCAAACTTGCCTACAAAGCCAAAAATAAGATAAAAGCATTAACAACTCAAATAACACATTTGTTGGTCAAGTGATGAATCTCTTGGACTACGAAAAACAGTTGGTGACACCATCAGTCCGGTTTCAACTAAATCATCGTAAAATGCAACTGCACTTCGCACTTTCGCATGATGCCACCGACTATCGGAATCCGAAGCGATGCTTGAACTTGCTGGAGTTATGCGATTGTCGTTATGTAATCTAAAGAAAGATAGTAAAAAAAAATCCTGAAAATGGAAAACTATAGAATAAACTCGAAGCAAAAAGATGAAAAGTATATAGCCGGTATAAAAAGTGATCTTCATAATTAGAAAACAAGATCTTCTGTACATAAAATTCAGGTTTAAAAATACGAAATATGAATTTATGAAGCTCCAAAACTATGAGTCTCTATCATCCCGGATTATCCTAATATTTATTACATAAAAACCAGCAAAAAAGCTACCTTGCAGTATTAATGGGAAAAAAACCATCTTCACGGTGCACTGGACTCATTGGAGGAAGTAGAGGCGTTGGCTGAAATATAAAGCTAAATTAGAAAATATAGGTCTCGCCAAATACAATTCTTTTTCTTTTCTGGTTTTCTAATTTTAAGAGTGGATAAATCACAGAGAAAAAATAATAGAAAAGTGGAGGGCTAATTATTCCTCAATTCCTATCACGATTAGCACTTATGATATTAAAAAAGCAAAACTGCAGTTCAACGTTAGCTTCTCTGATTACTGCTTTCAAACCCAAGTACGATGTCACCTGTGAAGTTTATACTAATTTAAATCGGGCATTCAAATGACTTACGCCTTTCCATAGTTTCCGTGCTACAGCGGGCTTCTGTTTCCTTCTTGGTGAATTTTGTTCATTAATAATTTTACTACCTTCGAAAAGTATTTTCCTCTGTTCTACTAAAAAATATTTGAAGTTGAACTTTATTTTCAATCAAAAATTGGAAGCACTGCATTAGCCAAATGTAGACATGATTTTAATTTCAACAAAATGGGTTTAACACAAATTTATCATGAATGAATCATTCAAAGTCAGCTGTTACAGGACAAGACGAATTTAGAGACAAATCCTGAAACTCGAATGTTGTATTAAATTTCGGTATTGTTAATAGTTCATTGACTAGTTAGTATCGACCTTAGTAGCTGCTTGGTAGATTTGCATTTACACAGTGAAATATATATAGCCTGAAGTAATAACAACCTGACTTACTAATATTATTACATGATGAAAGTTCTTTGATGATAGCGCTATCGGACGCTTGATCATGTTCAAGTCGAGCACATATTTGCTTGACATTTCCATTTAAATGTGGGATCTGGCTTAATTCGTGCATAAATTTAAGCAGCAATCATAAGACAATAACGAATCTGAAAACAAAATCAACAGATATGAAGAACAATTTGAAAAAAGCGACCACATCTAAAATAATCAAACTTGAAATACAACATCAAATATCGAATACATTACTACTTTTATAACAGAACAGCATGAAATCAATATGATGAAAAGCCAAAAAGTTCTCAAAGGAAGCCGGGAAGTTTAAATCAAAAGTCGGTAATTCTAGGGCAGCAGTATTTCTTCATTCTCATTATAGAATGTTGAATCAGAAGAAAATAAATAGGGATGAAACAAAACAGTTGTCAATCCTAGTTAGACACCTCTTTTTAAAGTAAATTAAACTGATTACTCGAGTACTATTCGTCAAAGAATGCTAAAACTGAAACCTTCAGCTGTTGCAATACTAATAGTATGAGCCATATTGAGACGTCATTTGTTTACATTTCATTTTTCAAGAGACGTTATTTCTATAACATGACATTACGTTACTTCCTCTCTCTCTCTCCTTTTCCTAGAGCTATGCTGAAACCATGGATTCAAGCTTAGCGTAATACTGATTATAACTGAAAAAGAAGAAAAAAATGAATGTGTTTAGGGATGCAACAAATAAACAGTCCACCACTGTTGCTTGTTGGTGGGGATTAGGAGGAATGAAGTAAACGAAAGTGTTCCGTATTTTCCAGTAATATAGTTGACATTTCCGAATACTATCCTCTATTTCTTTCCTTCCCTTTCCGTCCTGTTTTTCTTGATACAACTGTTGAAAGAAGAACGGTAACCGTGTCATTTCTTGGCCTTCTTCAAATTGATATTCTAAAACTGGTTCCCCCTTTCTTCGTCCTCCTTCTCTTCCATTCAATTAATATAAGGCACTCTTATATACCACTCATCATTTATGTACCTCAGCAGTTACATTAGTATGATTACCAATTCCTAACTTATCTTAACCTTTGTTTTTCGAAAAGTGTGATGTATATTACGTAATATCATCTACCAACAGACACAATGTATATTGTGGTAGTAGTTAAACATGTCGTATATCAGTTTGTCGTATTATCAAATATGATGTAATTACGGCGCATGTATATCATTAAATATGATGGTATCACATGTGAGCTACATGTTTTCTAAAATAAAACAAGTTATGACATACATTTCGTTTTTTTTTTTTTAATTCATCTCTTATTTAGAGTATTAAAAACAGTAAGAAGAGGTAGAAAAGGTGTGGACCAGATTTACTTGGATTATTTGCTTTAATCAATATATACTAATAGTTCAATCGGAATGATAAATATTGCCAGATATACGACATATGTAATTTGATTGCATAAAAAGTAATGGTAAAACTAATGTAAAAAAAATACCAAATAATAGATGCAGTATTGTATTATGCTGTTGTAATAAGTCGTACTCCAATTGTTAGTCTTGTCCTTTTGACTGAACAAGTTAGCAAACAAGTAACATACTACTACAGCGGAACTCCCGTGCAGTACGCCGCAACTTGCATCCGAACCCGTGCAATAGCCTTTCTTCGGCTTAATTGTTTGACCTGAATAGTGTTGCTTGAATGGCTTTCTCTTTGTGTAGTTCCTTCTGAATTATATGAAACTTTATAGTTTCCTTCTAGAAACATGTACTTTTTACTATTATTAATAAGTATGAGTGTCTCCAATTTTCTCAGTCTGTGTATGATCGTTTTAATCATCATTGTTCCGCTTCTTATCATATATGTTTTTAAATCGCTGATATCCGTTAACGCTATTCAAAGACTATCAATCTTCCATCCACCTAATTTTCACTCTGTTCCACTTGTTAGTGTCATTTTATTTTTATGAAGCATTTTGTGTGATTGTTGTCTCTCACTACTTTTTGAATTTAATTTCAGTTTTGTTAGTCGCCAGCTGATGTTTTGCGAAGTTTGTATTCTTCATGTGTAAGGGATGCACTATAAGGACAACCTTAGCAGTGTATCAACTTAACAAATTTCCTAGAATGAAGTGATTATTCTGTTATCAGTTGGTAATTAGTTATAAGCTAACATGAATGAAAAGACAAACGACATGGAAACATTTGATGCACCACCGTGGGAGAAGTTCGGTCGTTGGGTGTATTGCATCTGTGTAGTGACATTCGATCTTGAACTGGGGCAGTCAATTGAAGTAAGTGTTGAGTTTAATTGAGTTAATTCCAAAAATATCTTCTCCTAAATTTTATCTAACAGGAAGTCAAGAAATAGCAGAATTGGTAGTAGTTAAAGTATTTGTTTACAAAATTTTTGCCATGTTACGACATCCATTATGTCGTTAGTAAACTTGAAGTTGAATAGTTGAATAGAACTAATGGAGACCTAGACAAAAGTTAGGATTTTTACAGACTAGTTTTCGTGAATTTCTTAAGGTTAAACGTGGAAATTTGCAATTCGAACTTCGAATTCGATGATTTTTTTGTGCTATAAATCGTTCTTAATTTTTTAGGTAGTCTATCCCGGTGATGCACAGTTGACAGTTAGTGAGAGAAGTAGTATATGTTACTTGTCATTCCCGGATTCCAATTGTGGCATGGCACGTGACACCAATTTTCACTTCCGGATACGTCGATCATCTGGTTCTAAGTTATCTGCATATGGTACATACTCGGAACGAGTGCCAGCAGCTATTGATGCCGATCCTCAATATTTTTATGGGTTTGTTCATTCCAGGTTTGTTGTATGCGGCTTTATTACTCGGAACAATAAGTTTTTTTTTTTCGTAATTTTATTTGTCAAAATTCTGAAATATTCAATCATTTTTTTAATTGAACATATTTTACGTTTGTATCTTGAACTGATATTTTGCTTACTTGTCACTCACATATTTCTTATGTTTGGTTTGATTTGTAGACAAAAGAAAGATTCTTCTTTGCCACGTGGTTACTTTCAAAAGGTTTGTTTCTTCTAATTATTAAGCTTTTTGGTTGTTAGGAATTAGTCTTGTCACTTATTTAATTTTTGAATGAATATATGAATTCCATTTAATTTTTAAATGAACATGTATTTTTTAAACAAATAACTTTCAGAGTCTTGTTTTACTAACAGTATTGCCTCTTTTTGATTTGTTTTCACTTGTTGTTGGTGTAATTGCGCAAGGCTTTTTCGATTCTGGAGAACCAGCGATCGAAGCAGGTATGATTATAGCATTAAGCAGTAAAGCTTCAATACATTTTGATAATCGTCTTTTTTTTTATTTGTAATAAATACCTTTTGCAATGTTATGTGATCTCAAAAGAATAGCTTGAGACTTAAGTTGACAGAGTTACTGTCTTATATATTTTATGTTAAGTATTACCAAGAACATTTTTGTAGTGGCAAGATAGCGAATTTTAGCTTGTCATCACATTGATCAGTGGTCGATTCCCATCCCTGGTATCGTGCTTTGTTTGCCACTAATGGGGAATGTGATACAGTGTCGGATTCCATGCCAAATTGATGTATATTCACCCCAAAGAAGTTATCTTATGAATGTTAAGGTAAGTTTCAGTTGGGGTTGAAGTCGGTCATCGTACGGTAGATTTTAAGAAAGATGGAAGGTCGAGTTCAACTTCTAGTTTTAGATCTGATTTCGCTTTGTCGTAGACTAAAAACGGTATTATTCATTTTGAAAATTGGTGATTTATGTGTTTCTAAATTTTTCAGTTAATGTCACCCAATAAAAGTCCAGTTTTATTATCCATAATGAATAAATCGAATATTCCTGGGTAAGTTGACAAACTTATTCGACTGAGTTTTCTGAATATCTTAAGTGGGAAATGTTGCTGATTTCAGCATCACATTTAAAAAGAAAAAGTTTATTTCAGAAGTTTATTGTTTGTTGTTAACCATGTGCAGTTATTATGGGAATTAGTGTTGACTGGAGAGGTAATTTTTTTTTTCTTATAGTTTATTTTCCTTACATATTCTTTTCATGTCAGATTTATGAGGATTATAAATTGAAGAAATCTGTATTAATTTGGAGATGAAATGTCTAATTAAAAGGAAAATTATTTCAGCCAGTTGTGGTGCTAGCTCAAAATCCGTCGGATTGTTCTGCGTTCGTGCAGTCTCTGATTTCTTTGATATGGCCTTTAAGGTATTTATATGCAAATATAGTATTATTTCCTTTCTTGCTTTTCAGATATTTGTGTCCAAAATTTGTCTTTTAACTTCCATCATGATAATTCTAGGTATTCCAGTGACTATCGACCCTTTTTCACAATTCATGATACTGAATTTCGGGAATATTCGTCGAGGACTGATCCATGGTACTCATTTTCTGTACTTCTGTTGGGTATGAACATATAGGAGGCACTAAGACGTAGTTGTTAAATTAAACCAAGAATTCTAACTTTGTAAGTCATTTAATGCCCTCACTTTCTTAAAACTTTTTTGACGTTTCACACTTTTTTCCAGGCCAAATGTGATTCTTGGAGTGACAAATCCATTCTTTACAAAAATATTTCAAAACTGGCCTCATATTATTCGCCTGGTTCCTTCACAGGAGCAACAGATCCCCGTTGGAGGAAAAAGGAAGTATGTCCACTGTTTTATTTTTTATTAGGAAATGTTTCATTTTTGGTTTGACTAAAATCTAGAAGACAGTTTTAATTAAAGTAAATAAATGCTTTAATTAGTCGTTTCCATAAACTCGTTTTTTTGTTTGGTCCCTCGACTATTATTACAATGATGGAAACTTTTGCAGAAAAATCTGGAATAAACGTGCCCTTGAAACAAAGTATGGCTTATTTAGTCAATACAAAATGTTTCTTCAAAAAGACAAGACGCTTTTCAAAGATCTTTTGAAGATCAGCAATTCAGATTGCACGGATGGGACAGAACTACAACGCCGGATACTTGATTTGACGCAGAATTTCTTGATGCCTTTAGAGAATTACGTTTCATCATTAATGCCTCTGAAAAAGCATCTGTCACCTTTCAAGGTACCTTTATTTTTTACATAAATGAGTTTTTTTTTGTTTATGGTTAGCGAATTTCAAAAATAATTCAATCGCTGTTGTACTCCTCTCTGCATAGTGTTCAATTATTTCTTATATTAATCATTGTAGAATGTTCCACAGATTTATCCGTTCGTGGTAGAGAACTTCTTTTCTGCCTTGGATGAGACAAGAATTATACAGACATCGGGTATCAGAGGTGACTGGCGTGGTAATTTTTTTTTTCTTTTTTCTTTCTTCTCCACTCTTTAGAATTTACTCATTTCCTAATAAAAATTGAATAACATTTCGAATAAAGTAATCAAGTGATATAATTAAAGCTGATTAAATTGGCATGTCTATTTCAGGTTTATATCAAAAATTCACAACTTCACTGAACTTTCAAGATTGGTTGTCTCGCAAAAAGGCTGATTTGGAACGGCAGCTGCGACTTTTACATCTAGAAGTGTGTTTACATTAAAATTGTTCTCAAGATACGAAAGAGAGGAAATGATATGCGAAGAAGCAGAAAAAATGAAAATGAAATGATGGTGTTGTAGCTTTTTTTCTTGTTTGATATTCCCTAAATGTAGCTTAGGTTATCTAGGAAGTGGTATAATGGATAAGGCTTCAAGTACGAGTCTATAAATATTTCATTTTAGATGCTGTGTAGCGCAGATTTCAACAAGCAAACACTTCATAAACGTCCACAAGTTGAAGTCGTTGATCTTGTCCTTAAACTAAATGATCGCATCCAAAATTTGGATGAAGCATCGGAAAGTTCGCGAGTTCGGTTGCAATCACAAATTTCTGCTATTTTATCATGTGTGGATGATGATTTAAAATCAGTTTTGCTGTCTAATGGTTCTTTGAGGGATTGTATTTAATGTTGCTGTGACCATATGTAAGTTATGTAATTGAATTATGTTATTCAGTCTTTAATTGCTATATATTTTATGATGTTATATGCTGTTAGAATTTCAATTCTTGTTTTTTCCAGTTTTTGGAGTCGAAAAAATCCTCGAATAACTTAACTATCTCATGCAATAAGCTGTGTGTGTATTCGAGAAATATGAAACGCATGTAAGTTTAAAGAAACGTGTCGAAGTTAGGAGTAGTTGAGGAAGTTATGTAGTATTTGTAATACTAATAATAATAATATAATAATATGAATGAATTTTATATTAACTTCTTTTAGTAATATGGGTTTTTCCAGTTTTAGATACGTCAGCAAGAGTTGAATTTTTAGAAGTTCTTGAAAATTCACGTTAACAATGAAGAAGTTATGTGGAACATTCAAGTAATAACAGCATAACATTTATCATATCAAAATCAGCTACGAACCATGCACTCCTATTTGATCATCTCACACTGTTATTACTTGAATGTCAACTTTTTTCCAGAATACCTGAGTCACTTATATATAGCTTTCAAATATTTCATGTTTTAAAAGTGAGTAGATTCAGATATCTTCGGAAATTTTATCTTTTTTTTATTATTGCCAGTGCAAGTGAACTTTTTTTGTGCCCTCGTGAGTGAATTTTATATTAACTTTTTCAATTTGCTCAGCAAGGTTTTATGCCTTATGTAGATTGCATAATCAATTGTTATTGTGTATTTATATTGTATTTCTAAATTATTAATATTATCTTTGTTATGTTTCCTTCTTTATATGTCTCAGATGTTGTTACCAAACAGCATTAAAAAAATGTAGGATTAGTATATGTAATTTCATAATTCTGCTCAGCAAAAGCTAGCGAAACATGTCGTATTTTTCTAGGAAAATTAGCTATTATCAACCTGCAATTCGATAATTGTCAAACATTATTACTTCAACATAATGTTTTCCGCTCTACCGTTTTCTTGCCTTTTCTTTTGAATTGTTAAATTCTACTTGTTACGGGTAGTTAGAGAAATAAAAGTTTCCCTTTATTTCATCCGTGTTATATATAACTCTACAATGGAAGCTAATGGAAGGTTGCAGTATTCCGTTGCTTTGTAATTATTTGTTTGGTGAGAAGGTTGAATAAATGTAATTAAGACATCTGTTAATAGCAGGAATATAAATTCGCGTTCAGCTGTTTACTAGTTGAAAGTATAAATTTCATCTGTGAAACGGATTTTCCGGACTTTTTACGCTGTATCTGAATTATTTAAAGTGAGTTTTGGAAGATTTGTTAAATTTTGTTTCAACTACTTCCATTTCCTTTTTTCTCTGCAGTTTGATTCAAAATGATCTGTCATTCAAAGTCGAACTTTTTTATGATCAGCACTTTCTAAGTATAAAAATGATGGAGTGGGGAGGAGAGGTCATGGGGTTGGTCATGATATATTGTCATCAGTCGCACTGTTTACAATCCTCGAACATTTTATTCATCAGGACACAAAGTTCTGATGAATTGTTTATCAACTTAATATGATTTAAAATATCTGTCCAAATTCGCAAAACGGGGATTTAAACGTTTTAAAAGGTCGCTATTTGCACGTTTCGTCTTCATTTATCAAAAATCGCTTACTTTTAACTTTTAATGTACGAATGAAAAAAAAAAAAAAAACAATGAGCTTTGGAGACATAATTTACAGAGTTCTTCCTACTGTTGCATTTTATTTTCCAACATTTTCATAGCGAGACTTCGAAAATTTTGAACTTAATCAGGAATTTGCTGTATTTCTATTTCAAAACCTAAAGCATTTTTCATAAATATTATTTATTGACAGTGGTGGGTTGTACTAAAGAAGTTTTTACAGATGAAAAATGAAATTACAAACATAAATTTCTTTAATATTCTATACCTTGTTTATTGATAAAACATTTAATCATAGTTCCGATCTTTTTCCTCTTAAAAAAATAATGTTATTAATGAAGAATTCTCCTTATCATGTAGTTTAATCTCATTCTTCACCCATTCATCAATTCATGAACACTAACGGATATTTCATTGTAATATCGGTTTATATTGAGCCTCCTCTGCATCCCGAAAATAATTTTTAAAATTCAGATGCTATTTTTACAATTAAAGCATTTGAAAACCAAAGAAATTCGTAGAAACTTGTAACATATACATTAAAATTTACGTGATGTGTAGTCTTTCCCAATAAAAAATTTATACTTTTCATTTAAAACACTTCATAAAACTGTTTTTTCCAAAAGAAGTTTGTTGTACATAAGGAAAAGTAAACAAGCATACTGGCTAATTAAGCATCTTCTCAGGCGGTAATACAAATCTTTAAAGAACTTATTTTTTAAAGTTATTTTCTCAAGACAATATTTACACCTGTTTCTTGTTCCTTGTATTCTGATTATTTCAAATTAGAAGCAATTCAAAAAAAAACTTAAAAAATTCTTTTAAAACACTCAAACCAACTAATTCGAATGAAAATATTACTGACCATAAAATTTCGGAGATTTGCTTGAGTTATTTTTGAATAATATGTTATTCTGACTACTTGCTCCTTTTTTTTAATTGATTTTTCAGTGCACAGCTTTTTTTTCGAGTTTCTGATAATTACAGAAAATAAACTCTCTTTTTTGGATATCAGTTTTTTCTACTTATACTGATTTCATCATTTATAACTTCCGCACAATTCATAGATTTCAGTAAGTCTTGTCAATTGTATTCTAACAAATTGTTTGATAGTTGAAAGCAAATACTTATATACAATATAATTAGTTAATTGGAGTGATACATGAAAGAATAAGGAAGCATTTATTTTGATTAGGAAATTTATTCCTTTTTCTTAACAAAACGAAAACGAATCAAAGCATTGATACGATGTAGAAGCAAATGGAAATGTTGAAAATATGATGAATACAATGGAACAGCGACAACAATATACCCATATATACCTGATTGATAAGTAGTTAATGAGGCCAACATTGACGATACAGGTAAATTATATATTTAAAAATTTCATTACAATCATTTTCTAAATGGTTTGGTTGAATTGAAAATAAGCTCAAATTGACAAATCTTTTTGAAACTGATGGAAAAATGGGAATCGTTTTAACAATTGTATTATCACCAAATAGCGAAAAATAGTGATTCAGAAATAGAATAGGATATATTCACTTCAATAGTATACTGCATTTATTCATCAAAGATTTTTAAACTAATGAGTAAATGTGCAGTTAATTTAATACATCTATCAAGTAATCGGTGTAATTTTGAAGATTTCTTGCTGTTTTCGGTTGGTTTACCATGAAAATTCGGGGTGGAAACAAACTTGTAAAATGAAATAATGCACAGAATAAGACTTTTTAATCTTTTAAACCTTTCTATTAATAGCAATGCAAATATCTGAATAATTTAAGTGATTGGAATATTTTAAACTTTTGAAACTAATTCGCATTTGATCAGATAGAAAGAAAGGTAGCCACTATTTTTTTCGACAGTACGGAGAAATGAAACCAGAAAACGAATAACTTTCTGTCAAAGGAATAATAAAGCAAATTCTACTCACTGAAGTGCTTTAGCTAATATCGATACCAGTAATGTATGACAGACAAAATGCAATTCCGACTGTTAGCTTTACCCGCGCATATAGTAAATGATCTGCTTTAAGACATTTTTCCTTATTGTCAAATTCTGTTGACATAAGTGAAATGAGTTGTAATTCATATTCAGTTTCATATATTAATAAGAAAAAAAAGTATGACAGTAAATTCTGATGCAGCGTTGTCAGCAAAGTATTTGTGGAAAGACTAAATGTAATGTTCAAAATTTTTCAAAACTCGATTTAATCTTATAAAATAATGAAATTTCCACACATCGAAAGCAGTTTCCTCATTCAAATCTTTCCACAATATCTGAAACAAGCCTAGCATGCATATTAGTTCCATCACTCCGTAACAATTCGTTCATTTTTAACACAACACATCAGACATTAACTTTTTATTACTTTCATGGTCGTAATAACTGTAGCAAAATATGGATTTCTAATAATGCAAATACAAAATAGTGTCAACGGTTCGCTGAGGTATCCATGAGATAATACAAAACAAATTTTGAAGAGAAACATGTTTTCTACAAAAATAAATAAGAGAAAAACTGAAAAATTTTAATTAGCTAGATCATATCTTTCCTTCAGTAGAATATCGCAATTAAATAAGGAAGTGTCGATTGATTTTCAATTGATTCCAAACGTAAATTCAAAACTGCCAACGCATTACAGACAAGCGCAAGAAGTAACAGTCATTCGTGGATAATTTTTCAGTACAATGTTATCCATTTCATCATAATAAAGTAATGTCAATGAATCCATTTTATCCGGTGCACAGCATACATCGGGAACGTACGGATTCAGGCCAAGACGATGAATTATTGATTGAACAATTGCATGATTTGATGGATTTACTTCCTAAATCATGCAGATAAGTTCAAAATAAAAAAGTTCTATATCAATGAAAATTGGAAAGTTGAGTAGGAGTTGAAATTTCTATTCATATGATATAAAGGTTTAACAAAAAAAAAGAAAAACAGAACCTTTTTAAGCGGAAAAGGACATACACCACTACAGTAGTGTGCTTCAAATGATGTTGGCGCAATAATCCAATGCTCCCATCCTATATCTCGAAAGCGTACATTCAATTTTTCTGCTCTGCAGCTCTGAAGAAGCATTTTCTTAGACACAATTCATTATAGAAACTCATTAAAACTTTGCAAGACGGACATCATTAATCATTAGTTCACTTTAGTACAATTTAAAAGATAAATAAATCGTTCAAGATGATGAGTAGTTCAACGTCGAAATCTTAACATTTTGATAGACAATAATAGTAATCAATAATACCTGGGACGAATAAGCTTTTCGTGGAAGTAATACTACCGTCAGATCATCACCATCTTTCTGTTCTATAGAGGGTAAAGGTCGAACTGTCGCAACTTTTGATAATTTCTTCACCATACCAAATCCCATCATTGGATCACCTCTAAAAGTACTGCGTATTTTTTGTTCCTTGTTCTTTTGTAATGCGCGAATCTGAAAAAATTATTTCATCAAATATTTGCTAGCATTTTTATACTGCTAGAAAAAATTATGCTTCAAATAAAAATTACTCTGTCCTATATTTACGCAAATAAATCTAATTGTGTACCATATAACAAAGCATAAACAGCTAAATTTATATGAAATAATGCTATCTAACATAAAATGCATTATTAGTAGCTTATTTACATACCATTTAAATCTTATATTTGGTCAAGTATTTATAGGAGGGTAAATTTCTACTACATGAAACATATGCATATTTGCTGCTAAGAAATAAGCCAAATAGAAGAAGTGTTATTAAGAATGAAGCCGAGATTATAACTACATTTAGACTATCCATTCTTGACATTTAATAATTTACGAAGATAATATCTTTGGAATTTTTTCGTTTATAAGACTACCACAGTTTTCTACAGCAAAATTTCGGTACTATGAGGAGGATACTGTGTATAGAAACTCTTTTTTTTTTTCTTGGCCTTCTTTTCATACTTACTCCATGGACCTGATTCCAAAAACAATAACACAAAAAGCAAAAAATGCTACAGAAATGGCAGGAAATGAAAAATGAAAAGATAAAATGCACATATTTTTCAAAAAATATTCACTGCAATAACTGCTAAATAAATAATACTCGGTGACCGTTTCGTATTATATGTTTAATTGCAGATAGTTTTGTAAATTATGAAGAAAAGTAAACATCGTTTAAAGCCAGTGAAAAAAGTATTTTATAGTGATAAATGGTAATAATAGATTGATGGTATTATCCGCTTGTTCCGCTTTCTTGTTTTTGCTAATTGTCAAGATTCATTAAAATGAAATCCAAAAAAAAAAAAAAAGTACGAAGAAAGTAACGGTGGTATGTTACGGTGTCACCAAGTAATATATAATTATAATGTAATATATAATATAATGTATAATTCGTAATATATAAAATATCATAATCAAAAGTGATGCAATTCGTACGTTATCAACGAATAAGTAAATAAAATCAAATTTCCAGAAATTTTCGATATGTAAATTCCTTTCGCTTCAGAAAATTAAATAAATACTTGTTTCCGGTCCCGAAGTATTCGTGGTCCTAAATTCCGAAATTTTTTAAGATATTGTTCGGTTCGTTCTTCTAAATTGTCATCATTACCATTCTGCTTTTCTTTCGCCGAATATACGTAGTACTGGGACATCCTTTTGGAGCGCTTTTTACTCTTTGTAGCATCTCAAATAAGCACTTTTTTTATATTGAAATGAAAATCTTAGCACAACTTTGACATCTGATTTGTTAACAGACATCAAATACTTCACACTCTATTTTAAATTGTCGGCATATAATAAATAAAAAAAAAATACTGTTGTTTATTGAAAAGGAATTGTTTTCTAACAGTTCCTCGAAACATGCAAATTTAAAATATTGACTAATTTTACCAATATGTAAATCAGGAATTGCTTTAGCATTAAATGCGGATTGAAATTTTGTGCCATCAGTAAGCATCGGCTCATCGGCATGTACAAGCAAGAAGGGTGTATTCCGCTTAATCAATTCCGCATATTTAATCTTTTTTCCGTTTCTCAAGAACTGAAAATTCTAGTTTTCCTGCCATACCTTAGTCAGATTTCATATTAATCAAAGGTACAATGGAATAGACTAAATTATAATTCGTATAAGCACAAAGTTTGTTGAAATTTCTATCAAAGTAAACAGATCACTAGCGACAAGTTTTGATAGGAATCTTCATGGGCTTATTTTGCATCCATTCATGCCTATATCAGGAAAGATATATGCTAGTACCAGACAGATAATTATAATAATTATACCCAATGCGTATAAAAAATATTGTAATGAGTAAATCAGGCAAGTTGTACCAGAAACAACACTTACCTTTACAGCAACGATAGTTTGATTTGTTTGTAATGCTTCGTTAACCAATTTAGTCATATTGAAACTAAGCCAATAAGGAAAAATTGCTGTGGGCGCTAGTCGTACGATTTTCGCTTTTGCATTATTTTGTAAAATTCCAAGTGCTTTTATGGTTTCTCTTATTTCTTTCCAAATGAAACGACGCTTGTTTTGAATCTTATAACGTAATTCAGCTTGAAATACCTGAAATATGAACTTTCTTAGACTCATACTACCAGGAATCTTATGTGGCTATTCAGAAATATTCAACAAGATATGAATTCTACTTTTTTGCAAGTTTAATTTGCAACCATAATTACGTAAACAACATTATAATTAGTCGATGCTCTAATACTGCAGGAATAATTTACTTCATCGAAATTAAGCGATAAAAAGCTACAAATAACAGATGTCTACATTTCAATATTAAAAAACTAAATTCACTGATAATTAATTAACATCTGAAAACTAATTATTACTTAGCACAAGTTTGCTAAGTAATAATTCAAAGCAGCTGCTGTATTATAAATAAAAAATGGCAATGATAAATTGGTACATCTAATATATATGATATTGCTGCACACCTGTTCACTTATCTTAATTGTATTCAGCTTAAATATCAACAGCTCTTCATCAAACAGTGTCCCTGAAATATGATCATGTTCTCAAGGATAATGCAATTTTTTATGAACAGTAGTTTTTCTGCCCACTTTTTTTTTCCTCCTAAGTAAAAATTTATTAATGCATGATGATATAATGCATGATATTAATGTATAGAACAATTCGTTTTTTCAAAATTCATTCGCAAATTTTAATTGAAATCACTTCATAGTGAATCAAAATATCTTTTTGAGAAATATGTCATCCACGGACAATTGCTAATTAATTTTTTGCAGGTATGAAAAAAAAAACTATACTCTGGAAGAGTGATGAAGGGATATTATTAGTCGCTATAAAGATTATCTGCGATTCCGAACCCAAAGCTTACTAAGTGCGCCATCTGGGTTATTTTAATGAAACAAATGCAATACCATGCAACAGCAGAGGGGATAGAAATCATTTATATTATCGTTAGTTTATTTTGAAAAATTTTTTACCAGTTATGGGATTGATACTTCTAACAATGTTCCCAAGCGGGTAATGCTGTGTATCGTTGTTTTCTTTGTATCTGTTGAATAAACGTAGCATATATTTTGAAGCAGCGTTTTCAGTACGTAATTTGGACCGTACCACATCACCTGCAGTAAGTTTTCAGCGTTTCATTGAGAAAAAAAAGTTGGAATGAGATATGATGAATGAACAATAACAGAGAATGAAAATGAAGATGGAAAAGTGAAGAAACAAAAGAAGAACTTACCTGGTAACTGCTCGAAAGCCAATAATTCTTTGACAGTTTTTTGCAAAATGGCTATTTGCTTCTCATTTGGTTTCAAAATTAAACAACTTATGAAGCGAATACACAATGACAGTAATAGTAACGATTTTGGATCAACTAAGTGTTTCATTTCATTTCTGTAATCATTTATTTTATCATTTTTGTGTCAATTATTTGTACATTTCGTATAAAAAACTACTTGAACAAAGTCTTAAAATCGTTTAAACCATTTTAAAAATTAATATTATTATTGATTTTTTCTTTAAAGAGTAATTTTTTTTCAGCTTAGCTTTTTTGGGTAAATATATATTTGATAATATGTTAACTCTATGATAATAGCAAATTTATAGGTAAGAATTTTATTAAACCATAATGAAAATAATTTCAAAAGTGATTATCAGTTACAGTATACAACCCTACTATAACTGATAATAAGCCTTACCTAATCTTTACTACTACATTTTAGTAGATCAGCCAGCAGTATCTTTCTTATAGCAACTTAACTTGGGCTTGTATCTGAGATGAAAATTTTTAAACATAATAGATCATTTGAAAATTTGCAGAAATTATTGGAAAATGACATTTAAATTATGAAGTAAATATCAATTGCGAATAATTTATATAACGGATAATGTGGAGACTGCTCAAAATTAAGATGTGTACGGTAATTAAAATATATGTAGTATAGTTCTACTGATGTGATTACTTTGAGCAGCTATTCTGCCAAAGTATTACAACTCGTAAAGATTTGTTTTATTTTTTTCTGATATCCATCATAATAATAACAGAGAGGTGAACAAATCGTAGAACAGATTCTTACGAATGTACAGTGAGAGTCGTAGCTGTGAAACTTGAACCGTAACCAAATCACTAGATAATGATTATCGTAATATTGGAATAAAGGCAGATGACTTATTGCAAAATGTCGAATGAAGTAATGCAAAGTGCATGTGAGTTTTGATGTGTGCAAATATTCGTACGGGAAAATTGATCAAAGATGAAGAAGCTTTATTAAAGTTTTTAAAACTGTAGTTCCTGTAAAAAAAACTTGATAAGAAATTTTTGTGTAAGGAATTTCTCATTAGCCTTTTTCTTGGAAAGTAAAGAGACAGTGCAGTCAGTCAGAAATAAGGAATGGACCTAAATTTAATAAGGATATTGACAGTATGTTACATATTCTTCATTTGCTAGACATTACAAGTTTTCTATAGCAGATTAGTCAAGCTAAGGCTTCATAGATTTCTTAATAATCACTAAATCTAGCCAAAGCGTCATCCATATGATGATCCTCTCATTTATTACATTATTTTGAAAGTGCTATTAATGAAATCATTGTTTCCTCTTATCACTGTCTGTTAAGCATTTTATCCCTTTGTTTGGATGCTTATTCATCATTTTTTCATTAATTCCAATCTTATTTATCGCAATATATAATAATAATAATAATAATAATAATTAGCACAAAGATGAATATGAGCTGATTATTTCAGGCACCAATTCATTAAATATTGAATCAAATTAATTAAATTAATGAAATAAAAAGGGGACTAAAATGATTTTTGAATGTTGTCCATCAATACATTGCTAATTCAAATTAATTAAATAAAAATAAATATTGTAACAGACTGAAAGGTGACGTTTGGAGTTTTGCTGTATGTCAAATGAATGCATTAAGAGTAGAAACAGTACCGTTTTCGTCATTATTGCTTGGTAGAGTGGAAGTGAAACAAAGAAAAAGTTAAACAAGCGGATCTATGAATTTGTAAAATCTGCTGAAGAATTAGTAATATAGTAGAGAGAATTAGGGGAGGGGTTGATTAAAGACAAGGAAGAACATATGTAAAAGATAGGACAGTTGTTTAGTGGAGGAGGAGGAAATTTGGAAGAAGGGCTAAACTGAAAACGGAAAAGGGGGTCAGAAGATGAAGGAAGAGTAAGTAACTTAAAGATAGGTGTTAAGAATTTCTGATTAGCTAAAAAAAGGAGAAAAACAAGGACAAAGTGAAAGGTGGACAAATTCGGCACAGTTACAGTTGTTGTAGTAGCAATTTCTCATCCTAAACATCCATCCACATCAAACCCATTATACTATCCATCCATCCCTCTATCTATCTCTTGAACAATCGCCTCAAACACTTGCAATAACATTTACGTTAGCAACACACCCAATTTAAAATGTATGGGGTAAGCAACAAGAAGTGACTGATCCATTCATCCGCTAAACACAAACTTACACAACTGACCACCATCACCAACAACATCCTAAAGTACCGAATGAACGAGTTGGCAAGCAATTTTAGCTTCTTCTCTTCGTCATTTACCCCCTCGAAAATTTAACCAACTATTGTTAAATGGTTTTGTTACTATCTACTGTTCAATTTATTGCTATTTATATACTCATAGCATAATTCTATTACAGCAGAGATTGACTGCTTTATCATTAATTGATGTTTTAATTTTTTTATGAATAAAAAGATGAATTAGTCTTCCTTCATACTGTATCATTTATCATATCTGATCAGGAAGATCAGCACTTCACTATATCACGATCAATTATAATCAACTACTACTGTAAATAAAATGGCAATAATGCTTTGCTATCATCAAATAAATATTCAAAAAACGAAAAGTTTCTTAAAATTTAATTGTATTTTTGACAGCACTCATAAAGTTTAAATTCAGATTTATCATAATGTCGTCATGGTTAGCAAATTCGAATTTTCAATGCGAGATATGGTCTTGGATAATTTGATAAATTCAGAAAATTATAAAAGGTGCAACTGAATGCAAGGTGAAATGAACTGAAGCGATGATAATTACAAAGAATTGGTGAAAATAGGTCGAAATAAGCTGAATAGCATAAATCTCTTAAATAAGTAATGAATTTTTACGCAGTAGTCATCTAGTGTCATGAAATATGCAAATTACAATTATTTAGGTAACTGGAAGTTTTCAAAGCTTTCGAGTTATTAGGAGCTATTGAAATACTGTAAATTTGAAATCACGAAGCAAAATATCATTATTTAATACATAAAGCATTGGTTTTAAATAAAGATAAGAGGAAATAAGTGTTTTCAATTAAATGGTAATATTTCTGATTGCATCATCTGATTAAGTTGAACACTTTTAATAATTCATAGCTTCAGCTTACTGCCTTGGAATAACACTCAAAATCAAATTCTTGTCAGTATTTTTTTACTCAAATATCAGCAAATTAAACGTCACATTCAGTTTCGTGGGATAGTGCATAATTCGTTTTTATCATTTGCCCTTTTTCGTTTTCCTTTAGGTCATTAATCAGCATACCACTTCAACTCGCAGTTGTTAACTTGTTAATGACTCATGTTAATTCATGTCCAAGTTACCAATGATCTTTTTTTCTCTCCCTTTTCCTGAATTTAATTTACTTCGAGATTTTTTTTGAAATCCCTTGTTACGTCCAAAAAAAAAAAAAGGAAAGAAAGAAGTTACATGTATAAAACAAATGCTTTCCAGGTGTTTCATTTATTTTTATCTAATTATTTGGAACAATAATGAAAAGTTTAGTGAGATCTAAAAGATGAATGGGCATTTTCAAGTGTAATATTAGCTTGTATGGAGGATTTTGCTTTTCTCGTTGTTCTGAAGGAAGATATGAAGAATCTCAAATGCTTATGATATGTTTGTTATCGTTCAGATTTGTTGAAGAAACAACATTCAACATGTTTTTTTCTAAATATTCCACGAGGAAATGGAAGGAACGATACACGGTATGTTTAATTTTGAGTGGTTCTGTAGCAATGATTAATTTGGAAAATTTGCTATGAAACTGTTCATTTTATAAAGTCGGTTATCTAATTCAACTAGTTAGTCATTTAATAAGTTACATTTTTGCAAAATATTTATGAGTCTCCAGATGTTTGTCAACTAATTCTTTCATTATCACATATTTCAGAAATTCGCGGTAATATTCTTGTAGCTCTAATGTTTTGTACATCTGTAATCTCATACTTTTTAAGATTTATACTTGCAGAGCGTCATCATTATACTTTAAATATACCAATTCCTTCTCTCTCTCTCTCTTTCTCTCTCCCTCCTCATTCCACTTATATTCATTGAATTTGCCTAAAATTGATTTCTATATTTCAATGTTTATTAATTAGCTTCATCTATTTTGATGAACGAATTCTGTTTCGTTGTTGAATTATATACATTCTGAGATATTAAGGATAGGCTAAAAATGTTAAGCAATTGCAAGCCATTTAAAGTTCAATAAAAATAATATCTATAATTTTAGAAATCAAATAGGATGGAAGAGAAAGCATAGGAAAGAAATGCTAGCAATGATTGATGTTTCTATATAATATATTGTAATGTTAATTTTTCAGCAGCTAATGAACCAGATAAACTTCCATAAAGGTTGTTAATGTTGGGATTAAGTTTTGAATTTAAGTTCATAAAATACCTTTCCTTGACACTGCTGAATTGTATCCCATTCAACATTTTATGAATTGATTGATCATCTTCTAAGTAAAATAAGCTTATTTTCAGGCTTTGGAGCCTTAAAAAACTTTCCAAACTATTTTGATTCATTTTTTAATAAGGAAAGAAAAATTCACACAATTTCTCTTCTGCCTGTCACATTTTTGAAAAATCGGCAGTCAGTGAACTGTCACGCAATTTTTCCACTTTTTTCTCCTTTTTTCATGTTTGTTATGTTCAGTCATCCGTTCATCTAATGAATTTTTGTTCTTTCTTTTTCCCATATCTTTTTTGAGAGAAAAATCGGTTTACTCATCAACGTGGCGCAATTGGAAAGAGTGGATGATGCAAAAAAGATAGATATCAAACACAGGTACATGGCATATATTGCAAATATATAGATACCATATTGGTAAAGAAGAAAAACATATAACGAAATATAGCAAAATAGGTTAAGCATAGAGTATCCGCTTAGGACAGGTCTACGCAAAGCAGATTTATTAAGCCGAGGGCCGTCTATGGAAATAAGGTTAAGCAATAGGATAATCGATTCAGCTGAAAAAATTAAAAAACGAGAAAAATAAAAAAGAAAAAGAAAAACATGCATAATATAATGCAGCAATAATTGCCTACACACTTGAGTTACGTAAAACTTTCAGGGTGATAATG